AAAATTCTTCATTTTTGCGCATCAGATTAGTGTATCAACGCTTATATTTTATTGTATCTCGCGCATCAGATTAATGTATCAGTGCTTATATTATTGTATCTCGCGCATCAAATTAATGTATCAGAGCTATATAAGCGATGATACATGCGCGAGATACAATAATATAAGCACTGATACATTAATCTGATGTGCGAGATACAATAATATAAGCGCTAATACATTAATCTGATGCGCAAGATACAATAATATAAGCGCTGATACACTAATCTGATGCACGAAAATGAGGGATTCTATAATTATAAACTTTTAAGCTCTTTGTTTTGCATATATCTTAATTTTCATTTATATTCGCTTCATAAGGTGGAAAACCTTCTCTCTTTTTTTACCAAATGTCTAGGGTTAGGTTTAGGAACTGTTAAACAAAGCTATTTCTTACCCCTTTCATATTTATTTATGTATTTATTTAAAGTCTCTTTTTTTTTTTTTAGCTTTTTTGAGATGTAAAATATCGTTTCATAATTAATTTACCATTTTTTAAAAATTGATGATATAGTTAGTCAGTCACATGACTATAAAGTTCTTTACATTTAAGATATTAAAAGTTTTTGAAGAAAATTAGTGGTACAACCTACCACAAATAAAAAGGAAGCTCCAAAATTTGGGGCCTAAGGAAGACTTTGCCTTAGTGGCTTTGGCCTTGAGCCTATAAACTTAGTTTGACAAACTTGTCTAATGTCTTACATGCTGATGGGAGATAACAATTATATGGTCTAGATACACGCGGACAACCCTCATAACCTTTTAATTATTTTTTTCAGAAGGAGCTTAATCCGGAAAAAAACATTTATCTAATTGAAACCCTAATGGTTCGCTTTGTTAGATTTTACATCGAAGTGCCAAATTACATATGAGAATAGAAATGAAGATGATTATAATACTACACAAGAAATGCAGATAAGAAGTCATCGATCTGTTGTTACTTTGTTGTCAGTATACGCAAACAACAGCAAATTCAAATACATCAACCGCCATTGACATTTGTGTAGAACTCCAATAGGTGAAAATACAAATAAAGTCTTCATTTACAAATTTCTCTGCAAAGCTAGCAAAACATAGATAACTTCTTACTTGGTCAATTTCCAAAGCTAAAGCTAGCTGCGTCTATACCATTGTCAAAAGTCTCCATTGTGATTTCCAGTTTCCCATCATTGCTATTTTCTCCTTTGGCTAACTCTGCAGCTATTTGACGAAGGAAAATTTTGCGGTGGACTCGTCCCCACTTCCGCCTGATTTGGTACCAACTGCGACGATATTCTCCAAATCTTCACTGATTTATCGAGGCTCCCACTGTAAACAATAAATTGTTTATCACCACCCTTTTGTTCTTGTTCCTCTTCAACAGCCAAGCATTTAACCGGACCAGAATGTCCGCTCAACACTGATAAACATATATGTTCTCCTCCGTCCCTTTTCCACACGCAAATATTATTATCAGCTGATCCACTGAAAATTAAATTCCCGGCGGCTGCTAAACAGAGTGTTGCAAGTTTATGACCCCTTAAAACTCCTCCATGAGATAAAAGCTTGTCGCCTTGCCAAAAATTGACTAGCCCATCCGAAGAGCCACAATATAGGTAATTCGACGAAGGGTCAACAGCTAAGGCTGTTACAGCGCATTCTTGCTTCAATAATGTTTGTGAAAAGAAGTGTTTTGTTCCTTTCCCCTGTGATTCTTTTCTCCATATTTTTACTGTTCCATCAGCAGAGCCTGAAAAAAGTAGGCCGTTAAAGCCTACAACGATGGAATTTACAGCATCGTCGTGGGCTTTTATAGATTCCAAGCATTTCGAATCCGATGCTCTCCAAACCTTTATGGTTTTATCCCAAGATGCTGAATACAAGAGCTTTTGATCCTCGCTCATGCTAAGGCAGGAAATGGCATCAAAATGCTTAATCCAAACGGTATTTCGATTTCGCCTTGTTTGGATGTAATTGCTTGGTTTCATTGAAGTTTTTATATAAGCCATTAAAGTTGGTAAAGTTCCAATTCGATTGTAAACGCTTGAATCCTTAACAGAAACCTTCCAGACTCGGATCTTCCCGTCTTGATGACCCGTGAAAATTCGTTCTCCAGATAAAATAATTGCCTTTACCAATCCACTATTTGATTTGAATCCGGAAAATTCTTTGTGATTCTTCCACACCCTTATGTTCTTACTGTCGGATCCCGTGTATAACAAATCCCCTGACGCTGCCAAAGAATATATATGTCCTTCTTCGCGAACAAGGGACCCCATGAGCCCTGTATAGGAATAATTAGTACTATTATTCTCAACGTGAGATGTCCATGGAGATCTTGATAATGGCGATGTCTGGTGACTCTGATCCCAAGAGGGATCTAAATATGGAGATGCTGATGAATCCCTTGTCGGAGATGTTGCAAGAGGAGAGCTATAATCAGAGCTTAATCGAGGAGGAAGATGACTAGTTTCGGATGTGTGGCTTATTCGAAAAGAATATTCATCTTCATTAGGATCAGATTGTAGCGCTTGTTTGGGATGGCTATTCTCTTCTGTTGCCATTTTGCTTTTTCTTGAATTCCTCATTGTGCTATATCTATCCTCATGAAGAAAGAAGTAAAAAATCAAATGAAATCATGAGGGAATATATATAAAGATTCAGGAAAATTGAGACTACATATATGAAAAGGGTACGTAGGATATTTAAGAGGAATGAACATACATATCAATAGGAAAGAGAAAATGAGGCCATGAAGAACTTAGGTACAAGATTTTTGGAGGGGAAAACTGAAAAGGACTAGCTTTCACGTATTTTTGAGGCACAATTAAACAATACTCCTATATATGCTGACATATCCTAACCAATAATAATAATCTGTTCTAGTAGTAATTAATTATATATTGACCTGTCAAGTGAATCTTCAACCATATCTCCTGCTACGTTGTAGTCATATTTGCAATCAATAGCCTTTGGATTATATATTTAAAAAAATAGAATATTTTTTCAAAAAAATACTTACAGAAAACTTAACATACATACACATTATTTACACCAAACCATACTTTATCATGGTTAAGACATAAATTAAGGTGGGGAGGTGTATCAATTAATTATATATTAGTGATAGACTCATAGGCAGGGACCTTTATATATATATTGCACTCTCTTTCTTCAAATCTTTGATAAGGTAGAGTAATATTTTGTCAAAAATATAATCCACTTCTTGAATCAAACTATATGGTTCCAACTCTCATCTTTATTTAACGTTGGAAAATAGCTTGATATACCCCCTCTATTTTGTTACTTAGAACTGATATATTCATCGTTATGAAAGTGACTCATATATACCCTTTATCATTATACAAATAGCTCACATATACCCTTACCGTTACAAAAGAAGCTCACATATACCCTTCATTTAACGGAAGTGAAAAAACGGTTTTTAATTTATTTTTTTTACTTTAATTTTTAGAAAAATTCATGTAGGGGTATATATATGATCCTTCTAACAAAGCTCATTGTATATTTTAATTGTTTTCATACAAAAATTATTTTTTTACTTCTTTGATTATCATTATTCGAGGTTTTTTTTTTATTATTTCATTATCAAGTGTAAAAAAATAATTTAAAACTATTTTTTTGTTGTTGTATTGTAATTTAGTTTTGTATTTGTAAATTTTTTTTAAAAAAATGGGGCATCTATGATAATAAGTTTTACAAGAAAATTAGTGAAACACAAATAAATTTGACCATCAAAATAATAAATTTAAATTAGTAATTGAAACAAAAAAAGTTAAAAAAAAAACGTGTGAGGAGGATCAAATATACCCCATATGGATTATATTTTTTTCAAAAAATTAATTAAAATTATTTTTTTCACTTCCGTTAGAGGAAAAGGGTATAGTGAGCCATTTGTATAACAATATGGGTATATATGAGCCACTTTCATAACGAGGGGTATATCAGCTCTAAATGACAAAGTTAAAGGGTATATCAATCAATTTTCTCTTTAAAGTTTGTCAACTTATTACACATAAAATTATGTTAACATTTCATATAATGACTGCCTCAGTAAAATAATGTTTTTCAACGTTGAATTGATAAAATCTTTTCTAAAATTAATAATAATAAAAAAGGTGTTTGAAGAAATCATTTATAAAAGAAAAGTAATAGTAGTTTATGTCTAAAAGTTAGAAAAATAAATTATAAATACATATGAAGTTTGTTTAGATTTTAGGTCTCAAATTGAAATTTCACTTTAGACCTCTAATTACGTTAATCCGCCCCTGATCAGTGTATGTAAAAACACATGTCATGTATCTAATATAAATACCTAGCTAGTGCGATTAAGCTATCCCCTTACATATACATGAGCACCAATTTTAAAGTTATTTTACGCAGTTTTTTTTTTTTTTTGTTCAAAATGTCTTAATCAAACACCCATACAAATCTAAGATGAATAAGTACTTTGGTTTCATCATGAAGCAAAGCAAATATGAAGATATGTTGAAAGCATTTGTTTCCTGTAGCACTTTTTTTTCCCATTACATTATGGGATCAAGAAAAGGCAATAAAACAAATGAATTAAATATTGAAAATATGATTCACATATATTGTGTAAATGAAAAAAACTAACAACTAATCATATCACTCGATTATAAAAAGGCACTAAAGTAAGCAAAAATGGAAAGTAGTACTTCTGTAACTCATCCCACGAAAGGAATATAATAATCAGTTAAACAGAAATTAAGGCACTTTACAAATAAAACGACACCGTATCGTATGGGTTAAACTTCACTCCAAGTTTATATTTATCGGGTCGCCCAGCCCCCCAGATAAACAAACGTATCCAAAATTTCGCGTCTTATTTTTCTCTTCTCAACCGTCACAAAGCAAGAAAATAAATCGTTTAATTTTTTCTCATTGCCTAATTGATATCACTGTCAAGAAAGATCAAATTGAAGCCCGATTTCTTCTACTTTGTCAATGGTGAACTGCGTTTTCTTGAACTGTATTAACTTGAATAAATCAATCGGATAATGTTCTTGAACGATTTGATTCAACGGAGACTCGTGTCTCTGTTACAGCCATGGTTAAGAGACGAAGTTGAATTGAATGTTCAGCTAGGGTTTCTTCATTCTCACGCAAACTTGGAGAACCTTACCTTCAACACCTCTGCACTCAACGACTTGTTAGATGATCCTACTCGCTTGTGTTTCAAAGAAGTCACTGTCCAACGGTTGACCCTTCGTGTGTCCAACTGGTCAGCTCCTGCATTTGATTTCCAAATCCATGGCCTTAATATAGTTTTATCAGTCGGGTAAGTTCACTAACCGTTTTGGCGGGTTTTTTCAAAGACACTGGTATTTTTGATATAGTAGTAGTAGTTTAAATTATTTAGAACGTATATATTCTTATTAAGTTTGCACCCATTGTTAAATAGCGGGGTGCAGTGAAATTCAGCATCAACTGCCTTTTTAGGGTTCATGCCACTTGTATTCTTGTTAGTAATTATTCTTTTTTCCTACTGCCTAGAGAAGAGGAGGAGGATGGTGTTAGGCGGAGGCCAAAACCCAGAGACTCGTCCATTGAGGAGCGGGAAAAGATTCTAGCGGAGCTTGATCCAGAGGTACTTGACTATTTGTTTGATTATTTTGGTTGGGAAAAAAGATTTTATACATTGGATTGACAATAATGATGGAAAATTTGTGTTAATTCATATTAGCATTCAATGCTGAGAGAAGATATTGTGGAAATGGTCAATGGCCATGAAGAACTAAAGAACCAATTAGAGTAGATTGTGGACAGGATTGTGTCAAACATGATTGTCGCAGCACAATCTACTTAAACATATTTAATCTGTGCAGTAGATGTTACTTTTATGAGGAATCTGCAGATTCACTTAGGCACATTTTTTTTCATTGCAAGTATATCTGAATTAGAAATATATGGGATAGCAGTAGATAATTTGTTCCTGCTTGAAACAAGGAATTACCGGTAGAAGTGACAGAGGTTGAAGTAGGAGTAAACACAAAATTGGAAGACAATTCCTTCATGTCTTGATTAAAAAATTCAGTTTTTCATGTATATTCTGGACTATTCTGGACTCTATGTTCAGAGATATACCATAGACATTTTGAGGGGAAAACAGAATATTAACTTTGTGAAGTATAAGTGTCTCCAACATTTAAGATTCCAGTGTAAGATGATAGTTGTAAAGATCAGAATTGTTTCTGAACTTGACAGACTCCTTATGTACAAACACAGAGGAGATAAGTCCGGTGGTATTTTGATACTCCCATAACCTTCTTGATGCTCTTGTTTTGTGACTATAATACTATCTTAATAAAAAAATTTCACTTGTCAGATCTGTGAACTTCTGAAGTTTAGCTTTTTTGATGTTGATATATTCCAGGGTAGTGCTTTGCACAATACCATTAGGAGGATTTCAGAAATTACTGCAGGAAGTTGGACCACTCATTTATTCGATTGGATATTACAACAGTGTCGGTTGCAAGTTCATGATGCTCATTTCCTTGTGCAGTCTCCTTTATCAAGTGATTTATCGTCGCTGTCATTTGAGATGAAGGAACTTGGGGTACAATGTAAACACATTAAGGGCTGTCTTCTAACTGGACTGGTTAATTCAATTTTTCTGCCATATGGAGAGAACTCTTTTGATCTCGATGTTCAAAAAGTAGAGATCAGCTTGAGGAGAGGAAATCAGATTAGTTGCATTTTTCTTTCAACTGATTCAACTAAGTTGCTAGCTTCTGCGAAAATAAAACATCTTCAGTTCAGAGAATTAGACTTTTATGCTGTCGCATTGAATTTTTCTTTATCTCCAGCAGATATTTCCATCATACTTTTACTTTTTGCATTGTGGTCGAAAGAATCCAACCGTAGCAGAACTGGTAAGCAATTATGGGAAATAGCAGCAACAAATATTACTTCTCTGAATTCATCTCCAAAGTTTGCATTCCATAAAATTGCTAGCACTATGTGCTTATGGTTGCGTTATGTAAATGCTTACAAAAAAATGCTTATATTGGTTGGATATCCGGTGCATGATGCGATAAAAAAATTCACTAATGATGCTGTTCAGAATGAAACATATTCAAGAACTCTTAAGCAACAGTTGGAGGTGATTTCTCAAATTGAGAAGGAACTACCTGTTGAGGCCATTGTGCAGGCACGAAGAATAATCCGTTATAGAGCAGCGTCATCTGGTCAACAGTCAAAGGGTGGTGGTCACGGATCTAAGTTGAGCATGATTTGTTGGAAAATCTGCCAATCACTTTCCCTTATTTGGATGGTCATTTGCAGTGTGCTCCATTCTGTTAAATGCCTTCTCCCCTTGAAGAAAACGTTGGTCAGGAACCAAGATATCTGTCACAAGCTTGGAATTATAAATGAAGATCACATCCTAGGAGTTCACATTTGCCTATATGTCGGAGACTTTTCAATTTCAATTTCACCAGATAATGAAGTTTCACCATCTTTTAGTCGGAAGCTGGTATTAGATGTTGGGCATTCATACCCTGGTTTACTCACATTCTGCCTCTCTGTTGATTTCTTCTGCTTAAGGTACTCTAAAGATGTTTCTGAACAGTACTTCTCCTTTGCTTGTGGATCCTTGAAAGTTGTCTCTTCTCTCATGGAAGATAAGGCCAATAAGTTCAATAATAATTTCAAAGGACGTCCGAGAAAAAATATTCACAATCTGCAACCTACTTTATGGGGGGAGCCTTACCATGTTCTCCACTTCACTGAAAGTGGTGGGGCTAATCCTCCTCATGGTACTGGTGGAGATTTTGTACATACACCAAACTCTTTTGTTGAGCGAGCGTGCATGAATTGGAGAACATTTTCGTCAGGGTTTGTAGAAAATGAGATCCAGAACATGGAGAATCCTTTTATTCTCTGTGAGATTAAGGGTTTTTTGACTGATCAAAGTCTCAAGAACCTTACTGCTGGATACACTACTTGTTGTATGGTAATGGGGAGGTTGAATTTGGTTCTGGAGTATATTGTAATAGTGTCAGTTACAGTTATTTGCAGACAGGTTAGTGTAATATCTTGGGCTACAAGCCGCATGGGGACCACTGTCTTACAGGGTGATTCTAGATTAGTTGAGGATCCACCAGTTGCAGATTGGAATAACAAATACAAATCAGTTTGTGCTGAAATTAAGGTTATGGTGCCTAGGCTGCTTCCTGAGAAACATATGCAAATAGCAATACACATTACTGGTCCTCAAATCAAGCTGTTATTGAGGAAGGAGGATTTTCATGGTGAGAATGCAGATCTGTATAATAAGCTTGCGAATGATGAAGTAAACCTTTCTTTTGATGCTGATGACATTGAACTGAGCGTCTCACCAAGTTTGGAGTCTGATTTAACTTCCTCAAGTGGAGATACTGCAGTTGTTGATGCAAAATCGTTGAAGGACCTTCAGAATATTGATATTGCTAAATCAGATGGTGTTAATAGCAGTCAAGCATGCACTTCACTTTCAGCCTACTTGAAACTTAAAGGTCTGAATGTTTCCCTCGACACAGGGGATAATCAGAGTTGCCAAATTGTCGTGTTAAATCCCTTAACTATCCGACTGTTATCTTTAAGGTATCTCCATTCTCATGCTTTTTCTTTTTTTGTTGCTTTCAAGCATATGCATGTTATGCTTGAGTCTGCAAGCAATTAAGTATCTTCGGTTTAAAAAGATCACATGGTAATTATGTTCATGAATAGTTTTTCAATAGCTTTGCTCATCCTAATTGAAATATCCATTGTTGTCTTAAGAAAACTCTGAGGTATGACACTTTGATGTATGCCGAAGAAACAAATTGGGTTGTTGATCTAGGCAATTGCAGTTGTTCCCTATCAGTTTAAACTTCAATTTTCACCCTGGTCATTGTAACATAGCAAAACATCCATCAGAAAACATGCAACAAGAGAAGTTAAATTTTATTTTTTGTCGTCTACTACTACTGTTGTATTCTTGTGACTTGGAGTCCATTTTTCTTTCGAACTTGTAAAAACCATACTTTTCTGTTAAAATTCCAATCTGTTACTTGTCTTACCTTTCTGAGCTTCAGCATAACACTGATGACTGTCTCAAAGAGAAATTTCCCTCTGTTTCCTCCTTCGTCAGAGAAGCATTTCCTGGATTTATCTTAAATTATATGGACTAGAGCTAAAGTTAATATACTTCAACTATGTTTTTTCAGGAAGGATCTGCATTCATTGGGATCAATAGATATTTTTTTCTCTATAGTATTGCATGCCACGGGTTGTGGACTGACGACTCGGGTATTTCTGGATGAATTTGCAGTTTTGCTAAAGGTGATTCTCTTCTCTTGGTACCTTGTACTTGCATTGTTTGGTGGTTTTCTCCTTGAGGATATGACTAATTTTTTTAATTACCTGCTGGGTAGTTGACACTATGACGTCATTCTACTGTGTACTTTAATCTTTATTTTTTTCTCGTGCTACTTTGGCATCCTTTAGGATTGTGGTTGCGGTATATCTTTTAACTGACCTTGGTCATACAATCCCAACTTGGAATTCTATTTTTCGTCCTTCTGTACTGTCTCCACTTTTATGAGGTAGTTTCCAGGGCTGCCATTGTGGTCTTTATGTTTCTGACTTCTGCATGAAGGGTTTCAGGAAACCAAGCCTAGAAAAACTGGCACTGCAGCCTGAAATTGAGGTCTACCTAGTTGTTGTAACTTGTAAGGACCAACACATTGACAAGGGATGCAGTCATAAATGAATGGTGCTTCATGAATCTAGTCTTTTTTTTTTTTTTTTGCAAATTTTTCTACCATCACAATTTCATTCTTCCAGATGTGAACAAGCGAGGGCTCAAGGCTCATTTTAGGCCCTGCTAGCTGTTCTGTTTCCCGAATTTTGCTACCATAACAGTGCACTTTCCCAATTGTGAACAAGTGAGAACTCGGGGCTCATTTTTTAGGCCTTGCTAAGTGCCAACAACAGAGGCTTGACAAATAGCCTCCTTACCATAACCAGAATCAGTTTTTATTCCAGACGATCTACGTTGGTGCTTCAGACCTTGTTTATGACACCTCTGCTGTAGGAACTAGAGAGATTTTGTGTGTGGGACCACCAACCTCCTTGATGTGTTTGGTTCCATGGTTGGTCGCTTTTAGACCTTGTATTTGTTGAGAAGATAATTTACACTTCAACATGATATCTGAGCAGGCAGAGGTCCTGAGATCGAATCTCACCGCCACGCATATCAAAAACAATTTTTATGTGCTTCGCTCATGGAAAAAAAACCAGCCCCGCACATGAGGGGGCATGTTGTGAATATAATTTAAAAGTGTGCTCTTTCTAACAGCTTAAACTTTTAGATGAGATGATCACACATTTCAACAGTATTGACTAGACCACTATCATTGTTTGTCATTTTATAACATAGTCCAGTCTTATCATTGCTTCATAGTCCTTTTGGGCATATTCATATCATGTCCTGTTCCTCAAAGTAGCTTCCCAGGCATCCGAATAGCTGCATATTCTCCTCGCCCACACCTTTTGTGAGATAACCACTCTAGATACACCATTTTCCTCTTCCAATGATGCACTTTCACATTCCAAGAAATCCTATTGTTCTTTGCTCCCTTGGTCTTTCCAGTGATAGCACTCCAAATATGAAGTGTCGATATTTCCTTCTTTAAGCTGCTGTCTCAGTTGCGTGCTTACCTGAATTGCCTCACGATTTCCTCAAATGGGTCTTTCATTCCCTGTTTTTTTAACAATGCAACCGCTGTTCACAGTACTGCTATCAGAATTTATGAAACTTCCCATTGACATGTTGACTTGTCCCATCTTGCAGATTGTGTAAGTCTGTAACAAGTGACTGTCAGTGCCCAGCTGCTCGCTAGAATTGTATAAGCTATCCCCCTGTAAAGAGTTGCTAGGAGTTTATACAGATGTTTGACTTCGCATTTTATTTTATGGCAGGTAATATCTGGTCTACTGTGTACAGTTGTTCAAGTTTTCAGTACATCAAGTTTAGGCCTTAGCCAAAGTTGTGAAGACTTATTAAGGCGAGAGTCTACTGATTCTGAAAATGAAAGAGCACTCAAAAATAGAATCACACAAGTAGCTTCAGTTCTTACTGATACTACATTCAATGTTAGTACGACATGTGAAATTAGCTCAGTGAAAATGATCCTTTACGACTCTAGGAAAGGATATAATGCGCAAAATAGCATGTCAGATGCTAATACTATAGCTGACAAGAAGTCAACAGTGCAACCAATCCATGGTTATGGAATTAACGTATCTGTTGCACATTCATTTATCAGGCTCTCTTTTGAAGAGGAAAAAGCGGACATTCTCATTAGTTTTTCTGAGTTTGAATCTGGTATATCCCAACATCCGGATGAGATTTTGGATACTTCTGACCAAGTTGAACCACAGTTGCCTGTTTGGTCTCACAATTCCTTATATCAAGCTTCATTGTCTCATTGTGAAATTAGTTTATGTTTGAGAGCCTTAGCGAACAATATTCTGCAGGCCAGTCAGAGAAATGTAGTGAATGGTTCCGACTCCAGACATGATGCTTCAATGTCCTTGAATCATTCACCGTCGTTAATAAACGATGTAAATCCTTCTTTTGATTGGTTATCTATAAGCATTTCTTTAGCTGAAGTTTATCTGGTCAGATGCGCAGTAAAGAGCTTACTACTCCTCCAAGGGAATGAACTTAATACACTTGAAGCATCTCTTTCTGTTGGTGGACAATTTCAGACAATCTCCTGTCGGTCCCAGGTTTCTGTTCTTGCAGCTTCAGATTATTGCCTGCCTATTCATTAACTTCTGTATCCATTTTGCTAGATCCTAATTTGGACATAAGTTGTTTATTTATAGTTTGGGAAGATCTTATGATTTATAAGGTTTAAACGAACACCAATTTGACAGGGGGGTTCGATCATTGTTGATATAGCTGCTTTGGTGAAAATGGTAGAATGCTACGCCTTCTACTTTAATCAGTTGGGAGGCCTTTGGCCAGCTGTGACAGAACATCTAGTTGTTCAGAATGATGAGGATACTAGTCTACGCAGGATCTCTTCCTACCAACAGTTGGAGCAACATAAACTAGTTAACTGGGACCAGGTGGAAGCATTTGCCGTGAATCTTTCACGGGTTTCTCTGGCATTGGTGGATGGAGAACAATCTGGTATCATCTTTTTCTTTTGTCTTTACTTATCATCAATAAATAGCAGGACTCTGAGGTAGTTTTCTCCTGAAGATATACACATATTTTTTATTCTCGTCTTATTTTTAGAATTACTGCCCCCTTGCATTTGAGTGCACCCAAGATTGAGGAGTTATTTTGATACATATAACATTATAAGGAGTATTTAAAAAGCGATAATGATTATATTGCTCTGAGATCAGCAATTTCCAACTTGAGTTTGGTTGCCGTATTGGAATTTTAATCTTGAATAACATACAGTGTTATCAAAGTCAAAAAGCAAAAAAGGTACTGAGGCCTGTTGGGACTTTAAATGCAAAGCACAAGTAAAGCACGGGTCGTACCCATGCTGATTAGCTATTGTGCAATGACGATTGGACTTTTTGTTGTCCATGGAGTCTTTTTCATAATTGGTTTCATCTTAGGTCAATTCTAGCTTGCACAGTCTTGTTTAATTGAGAATTTCTAGTGCAACTGACAACATTCAAGAGAAAGGCACACAAATAAAACAATAAATATGTAATGAAAGAGTAATTAATTTAAATGCGCACCCAAAAGGGTAGCGGCTGAGGGTTTCTCTTGTCATAAAAAATAAATAAAAATTATATGGACAAACAAATTGGAAAAAACTTTGATTATTGTTTAGCACTGTATCTTCAAGATGGATCCTATGGATGATTAGACACAAGCCTTAGCCCATTGGTTTCTGATTTGAAGGTGCCTAAGCAAGATAAAATGCTTAGCATGTTTGTGCATTATATTCAGGGCTTAAGTGCTGATTCTGGCTAATATGTTTATGTCGAAATAAATTGTTTGTTCTAAACAAAGCACATTTTTAAATAATGAATTTTCTGCCTTGCAGGTGAACTTCAAAAGCTTCAGCTTGAAGGTAACGGTAACCTTGAGCTTGAACTACCAAGGAAATTCTCATTTCGCATAACGAATTTGTCAGTTCTTTCTCAGTTACTCCATATATCTACTGAACAGCAAAGCCAAGAACTGAGTACCCCTTTCTATTCTTCCTTGGAATCTAATGATCAATCTTCCATCATTGTACATGATGATAGTTTAGTTTCTCCCGATCACTTGAGTGAAGTTAATTCTGTCATGGATGAAGCAAGTAGCTCAAGCCCCCCAGAACTGGGAAATCGATATCATGCAGATGGTTCAAGAAAACCTTGGGGTGGTACAAGTTCTCAAATTTCACTTGCCACTCCTCAGAACTATGTTTTAAAAGATTTAAATGCTATTCTGGTGGTTGAGCAGCCTTTAAAAAGCAGTGGGAGTACTCCTTTGCAGTCAAATGACTTTTGGATTGGCAGTGGTTCTATAGATGGTTGTGACATGACCCTCACACTGCGTGAAATACAGGTGAGGAGATGAATCATAATTTCTTTTTGTGTAGGGTAAAAGTATACTCACTAGGCAGACGTATTTCCATCGTTTAGTTATTTTTATTTTCTCCACTTTCTGTAAATAGCATCTTCTATTATAGTATATCTTTCCAGACAATTTTTTTTTTGATGAAGCAAGTGATTTCATTTTAAAAAAAGCATCAAGAAGATGCAGTAGTTACAAGATATGTCGTTGAAGCTTACAAAAAAAATATTCGGCTAATATAGGAGAACTGACTATGCCAGAGTTAAAGAGCTAAAAAATCCACAAACTGAGTACAAAGTGGACCAGCTAATAAACTAGCGATACATTTAGCCTTTAAAGAGCCTATGGAAGTTGAGACCCCATCAAAACCCCTCCTATTACTTTTTATCCAAATACTCCAAAAAATGCAAGCAGGTATCATGCTCCAGCTATTCTTGATGGATTTATCAACTCTCCACTAGCATCAGAACATGTATGCTTCCCTAACTGATTGAGGAGTGACCCATTTGAGGCCAGAAATGCACATAAACATGCTCCAAAAATCGAAGGCTACTTTATAATGTGGAAAAGATGGCCAGAATTTTCAGCTTCTTTATTACACTCTTTTTTTTTATAATGGTAACGGTATATTCACACCAAAAGGCCCATCAGGTAAAAACTGATGGGGTGGGATTTACAACCCTAGAGGGTATCATCAAGACCAAGGTCTAGATAGAAACTTTACAATTGTCCTATGAAATCAACTAAGCTATCTATCTCCCTCACTATATCTTGTTTACACCGAAAATACAAAAAACTTATACTCTTCATCTTGATCTTTTGGAGACTGCTAGCTTTTCCATCGTGGCATCTTTCATTTCTTTCTTTCTATAGAGTCCACCAGATACATGCTGGAATGCTTCTCCACCAATCTTCTTGTGATCCTCTTCTCCCCACTCCTTCCCAACTTTGCAGCATATCAAATGAGGTCCGTGGCATTACCCAGCTTATCCCAAGTATACAGAAGAACATGTTCCACAGATTTATAGCTGTTTTGCAATGCATGAAAAAATGACTGTTTATCTCTGCCTCTTGCTCACACATAAGACACCTTGAGCAAATCTGGATACCTCTTCTCTGTAGTACTTTGTGGGTTAAGAAGGCTCTCCTGGTCACCAACCAAATGAAGCATGAAACTTTATGAGGTATTTTAACCTTCCAAACCAGTTTCCATATCCATTTTGTTGTCATTGTCTGTCTAAAGTTCAAGCTCCAGTAACATGATTTCACTGTAAAGGACCCTTTGATATGTAAAGGTCACCAACCAATTCAACTTCTTTATTACACATATAACATCTGTTGGGCAGCTGAATTTTCCTTTTCATCAAATTATTTTGAGTAAGGCATGCCTCATTTAGAATAACGCTCATTAGGTATTTCAAAAGGTCTAAGTTTACTATGGTGCATAATAATTTTATTTTCAAGGATAATTAGTTTGTGGGTAGTGTAACTTCTGTAAAGATGCTTAAAGGTGGTTCTTTAGATTCAATTTCATAGCTTTTCTCGTGGTTGCAAGGGCTACCACTCTCTATACATACTCCTAACCAAAATTGATTTAAACCTGATAATCAAACTTTTGATTAGGTTATCTTCAAAAAAAAAATAAGGTAACTAATTTTACTATTAATGGGTAGAGGGTGGCCCATTAGCTGGTGAATGGTTGCAGATCACAGTGACCATTTTTTGTGGTCTTGGGTTGTGGTATTACTGGAATCAGGTACCAAAGATAGAGATTATTTTTCCTCTTTGATAAGTAGGTAGAGGTTGATTAATATTCTAATTTCCATTTTTGTCTTCATTTTCTTTTTCCTTTTTGGTGCTTTCCTACTCTTGACGAAGGGGATATGATCCTGTTTCAAAGGTTAGATCAAATGAAGTGTTTGTTGTGACTTCCTACTAAACCCACTCAAAAGCAAAGAGCGACTAAGGAAGGTAACACTAGAACAAGTTGTCAAAAGATTTGACCCCTGAAGAACTGACACAAACATTGCGGAAGTTTGTAGGTCATTGTGTGTGCTGGGTGTTAGTGACTTAGACTAGTTTTTGGACTCTTTGTTTTTTCCTTTTTGGCATACAAGGAAAGGCAGAGGTAAATCGAAGAAGAATTGGGGAGAGGTGATAAGACAAGATATGAGCCAACTCAGGTTACCGAGGACATGACCTTAGATAGGAGGTGTGGAGGACACATATTAGGGTTGAAGGTTAGCATGTAGTGTAGTATTGTTTTGCTTGTGGTGGTTGATGTTTGTCATTGTACTAGTGGTATTATTATTGTTTAGTATGTTGTTTAGTGTGTTTCAATTATCGCACTATTGTATTGTTGTTTTGCTTCTTTCTGGTAGACTTAGCACTACTTACGTGTTGCTATATTTTATTCACTATCTCCTTCTTTGTACCTGGATTTGCTGCCGAAGGTCTTTCAGAAACAACCTCTCTACCTCCACGAGGTAGTGGTAAGGTCTCCGTACATTTTACCCTCACTAGACCCCAATTGTGGGATTTCACTGGGTATGTTGTTGTTGGTATAGTTAATGGGTTTAGGCTAGTCGAAAGTTCAAACACATTAGCTCATGTTCTTGGAAAGTGACAAAAGTCATCGGACAATCTGTCACTCATTTGCATACAAGACTCTTTTAGTGTAAGCAGGGTAACTTTTATCCTTCAGGCCTGTAGTAAATATATAATTTCCTTCTGCGCCTGGAAAACCATATCTCTTAGTATGACCTTTAGACTTGGGTCTATTCTTGCTGGTAATATGTGACGTTTTGTGTCTTTTAGAGAAAGGTGACACATCCAAAGTTGGAATTAGCTAACCTGGTCTTAGAAGAACATTCTTCAAGTAAATCTTAAACATAGAGAGAAACAGTTAGAATTTGCGGAATCGGTGATGTGGGACTGTTCTCCATTTTTACATGTCCTTTTATTGATTTGATGCCAACGTGCATAAGGTTTCACTAGTAATGCTCGACTTATAAAGTGTTGATTTCATTTATGTAATTAGGCACCTTGACATACAAGTGGTATACAAGGAATTGCTCTAACTTTCTTTTTGTTAAATCAGATTATACTTTTTGCTGGGGAAGTTTTATCTGCAGTCTTTAGCGTAGAAGCAACAAAAAGCATAGAGCAGCAAACACATCAAAAGAACAGTGGAGAATCTACTAGAAGTCTGGATGAAATGGTTCCTGATGGTAATGCTCTTTCAGCTCAGGTTGCAGAATCCATCTTTTAGCTATGAACATATTAACGTTATAAGTATCTTGCCTGCAGGAACAATTGTTTCTATCAAAGATGTCGACCAACATATGTATGTCGCAGTTGATAGGGCAGAAAGTGGCTACAATTTAGTTGGTGAGATCCACTATTCGCTTGTTGGAGAGAGGGCTTTGTTCAGGGTATGTCCATCTTCTATTCATTATGTATGCCTTGCCATATTGAAATGACTAGAGCTTTGTGAGGTGTTTAATTGAATCCCCAAAGGTATTTTTGATATTCGGGTTAGTTTTTCGAGACTAATCCCTTCTGGAACTTTTTTTGTGTTCAGCTGAAAGCTTTCCTTACATTATTATGTTTTCTCTATATTTACAGAAATTTATTTTTCCTTGAGATGGCCATAAATCTATTATTGCTTCTTCCTCCGAGTTAATAGTTGCTTATGTCTTCATCTCTAATATCTTTTCCGTATAGGTTACTCACTCAACCAACAATGTCCATTGGACGACCTTGTGATAACGTTCAAATATACTTCTTGAAAAGAAATATAAACGATCGTATGCAATATATTTACCCAACTATGAGTCGGGGTCGATCCCACAGAGAATATGGAAGAATATTGTCAATAGTAAATATTTAACTCGATAGTCGTTATAAAAATGGGGGATTTAAATTGAAATAAAATAAAATAAAATAAAATAAAAACAATAAAAATATAGCTTTGAACTAAGTATTTATTTATATTCAGATTATTAAAAGTAACTAGGAATGTGTTCCCCATAAGCTCATAACGCATTAATCCTAATAATAGTAATCCTTTTCTAGTGTATTACATGCAAAGTGATAAGTTAGGTATCTCTAAATCCTTGGTCCGGCATCTAGAGAATTTCACCCCGCACCTTGGTCCGGCTACGTGTGTATAATTTACTAACCCTTACCTTTACCTCATATTAGACATCATAATCGATGTTTGGCTTAGTTATTACTTCACACCAATCGACACTAGCCTATTAGATAGTATCACACTAAATCTATGTTGATAATTCTTTTCTTGTTAATTACCTCCTTGGTCCGGCAAGTAGTAACAATGCGAGTTCTAACGTTGACCACCGTTAAAAAGACTTCTAAACGAAAGAATTATCAATGCATGCAAAATACTAGTCAAGAATTGCTTATTTACTATTCATACTTTGTTAATCGCTCATGGTTCCCACAACTCTAGTTATGAAAGTTAGCTACTCATTATCGCAAAAACACAATCAAAATTTATTAATATAAATATGCTTGTGTTAATCATAAAAAGTTAAGAACAATAGCTAAACTATCTTTTATTAATCACGAATACAAATAAATAATAAAGGAGAAGAAAGAATAAACCACAATTCTCCGGCCTCCACGGCGGCTCTTCCAAAGTTCCTAAGCTAGAAGAAAATTTATATTATGTCTTGTATCTTGGTTCTTGGCCCCCTTCCCTCAAATAGTTATTTCTATGCACTATTTATAGATGTAGAAAACCCTAAATAAAATAATTGAGTCCAAATTAAATTAGGAATTCAAAACCAAAAGGAATTGGATTCCTTTTTCTCCGCGTGTAGCTTCCAATTTTGTGCGTGTAACTTCTTTTGACGTTGCTGCCTGACACTTGGACCAGCAGGTAAGTTCTTCTTTCCTTATTTGAAAATAAATTATATTAATATTATATTAACTTATTTCCATTAAGCTGTCTGCTTGATGTCCTTCTTCAACCTTCCATCTTTAATTCATTTTAGCTCCAAACTTCTTCATTTTTTCACCAATTTAATCCTACAAATAAAATATACCATTTAACACAATTCATAAAATTCATGCTAAAAAAGGACAAATATAAATAACAAATGTGAGAAAATAATGATTAAAAATATGTATTTTTAGCCTCACATCACCTTGCATTTTAATCTTTTTCCATAGCTTCACCTTTGTAACTAGCCAAGAAATTTCATTTCTCAATAGCCGTGTCCTCCATCACTCTCTCACATCTCAATAATAATACAAATCATACGCGTATGGATGTTCTTGTACCAACATTTAACACCTAAATTATATACAGTTATACCAATAAAAAAGACTGTCAATACTCTCTCCGTCCCAATTTATTTGTCACTTCTCATTTACCTGGGTTCGTAAAGATATGTATGCATGTGCTGATACGTGGTTGGCATCCTGCAATTAAGTTCAAGAAAATCCCGTGCTACTGTTTTCAAGTTTTGCAGTGAAGAGATAAGTGGTTGACATCGACACACATGCATGACCCTCAACACGTTCTGTTGTGTTACAAGCCTCTGTCACCTACCAGCTGAAGCAGCTTACTTATTTTACAAGGTGCCTTGCACTTATAAATCCTTTTCCAATGCCAATTCCTTTGAGAACTGCATCTTCCAGACAAAATTTTGTAGGCAGATTTTACTGATTAAAGTTCATCCTAGAGTTTGAAAGAACTGGTTCATTCTTCCCATTTCCCAATTTTTACATTGTTTCCTGGGAGAACATCCCATACCAGTTCCGAGACACATTCTGGTGAAAGGCTTTTTTCCTGCAAAGCTATGAAGATCGGGAAGCCAGTTTTCCTGTGGTCCATGGCCAATTCAGAATCAGTCATCCCATCAGAGGAAAATTGTCCTCCCGTCTCCTAATCTGAAGTTGTTGTGTTCTTAAGGCATTCTAAATGGACTTCCACAAACCAGTTCCATGAGGCATAACATAAAGTTTATGGTCCAGAACCCCTCCCCTGAACTTTTCTGTTAGACCTTTCTCTGTGGACCTTTTCTTCACGATTTAATATCCATAGCAACTTAAAGATAAGACTTTTGTCATATCAGGTTTCCACCCCTAAAACTCCCTCCTTTTCTATAAGTACAGAGTTCTGTTTCACCTGTGTTGAGGGATACGCATTGACAAACTAAAATTGAACATCTGAATCTTCTTATTTGTACAAAGAAGAGTGTGGTGAAGAGACGAGTGATTTTTGAGGTTCATTGATTCTTTTGGTTTAAAGCTTATGTTGTCTCCTATGTTTTTAAATCTTTTCACATTTTTTTCCTTATCCTGTAACTTATTTATTTTTTCCTGCTCCTTGGGCTGCTCATCATTATTAAAATAATCATTCATTGATGAAAATTAAGAGAACTCTGTGCATTAGTGACTAGGCTCAGGGCTTTTGCATCTGTTAGTTTTCTCCTATCATTTTTACCTTGACAACTTTCCGCAATTATTTTTTGGCACATATGTGTACTACTCATTCTTGGTATACCATTTGTTACTTGGTGGACGTGGTGATTTAACCCTTTCTCTATCATCAGGTGAAGTATCACCAAACAAGAAGATGGAATTCACAAGTTCAGTATTTGTCCTTCATCTCGCTATATGCTAAAGATGAATCAGGGGAACCATTGCGGTTGAATTGCCATCGACAATCCGATTTTGTTGACATTTCCAGTTCTAGTGATAGTGCCTGGGCACTTTGGAGAGCGCTTCCATACAAACATGACATTTATGATGCTGATGTTGACTTGAAGACATATCTTCCGCAAAGTAAAAATGTATTTTATCTTGTGAACAAGAAGAATGATTGTGCTGCAGCTTTTGTTAATGGGGTCCTGGAAGTTGTCAGAAAACCTGGACATCCGTTTAAGTTTAAAGTATTTCGTGATCCTTCTCCATATGTTAACAATGTTTTTTTGGATGGGTGTCTAGAGAAGGAACCTGGAACAATCTTGCTACATGATTCATATATAAGTGAGGGAAAAGATCTGAGTCAGCGAGGAAGTTCTTTTGGTATTACTGTGGCAGTAGACAAGGTTTCTTTGACCATTGTTTATGAACTTTCTGACTCCAAGGAAAAGGTTCCCCTCCTCCAGGGTTCTATCAGTTTTACTGAAGTTGTTATACAGATATCAAATACTAAAGTTCGGGCTATGAGCAGGCTGGGGGTTTTGATGTATTATTTTGACTCCCAGAAAGATATGTGGTGAGTCTCTCTTTAGTAAAATAATGCAACTCTACTTCATCTTTCTCTTTGATATTGCATTTTAGGAGAAATGGTATAATATGTTGTAATTCATATTACTCACTTGTTTGCATGATGCCAGGAGAGACCTCATGCATCCATTAGAAATTGATGTTTTCTACCGTTATACATTTCTGAACCAGGGACCAGAAAATATTATCCTCTGGGTGCCTGGCCATTTCTATGCTAGAATTAAAGAGGTCAGATTAATAATTCAGTTTTTCATGTGATTTTTTTTTTTACTTGTATCTTTTTTTTTTTAATGAATATCTCTGTCTTGGCAGTTGAGTATGACAATTACTGAGCTTTCATTGGACATTATTCTCTTTATCATTGGGAAGTTGAATTTGGCTGGTCCGTACGCTGTCAAGGACTCGACAATTTTGGCCAATTGCTGCAAGGTTCTACTCTTACATAAGTACTCATGCTGCATTCACTCTGTGGCTTTGCAAACTTAATCTTGCTTGAAATGTTTTAAATTCACTTGCCATAAGAGAATCTCCTCTTCTTAGAACCAAAATATAGGCAAGCATTAGCTAAATCAGCTTCACATCTAAAACACTAGTCAAAAGTACATTGCTTGGTACTTGGTAGTAATTGAGAAAAGAAAGGGGCTGGATACTTCCTGAAAGTAGCAGCATTCTCTTTCCCCCTTGTAAAATGTTTTGACACAGTTAATTAATTGGTGGTTGGACCAATAATGCACATAACTTTGTGGACCCACTTTAGCAGGAAATATGCTGCATCTGGCTTGAGTTATGGCTGTAAATATAGCCAACATATGCTTTCATAGAATTTTATGAAGCCAAATCTATTTTAATGTTATGTTTTTCACCTTCTTCCCCGAGCTACATAGAACCCTTTTCATTTTTATATTTTTCATTTTAAAGATTTGTATAACATGATGTATAAAAGTCCATATTATACATTATATATATTACATATACATCCTTATACAGTATTATACATAACATATACACTGTATATATAATGTACAAAATGTATATTAGTGTATAAATAATGTATATGCTTTGCATAACCATGTATAAACACAGTTAACCAACGGAATATCCGAAGGAAACCACCGGACTTGGGGTGTTGTGCTACGTTCAGTTGATATGCCTAAATCTGGCAAGCACTGAAGCAAACTCGACGCCACATGTTCAGTGGCTTGAGATAGTTAAGTAACGAGACTGGAGATTTTGGGTGGTTGCCACCGATTCATCGGAAAAATTGGTTGCCAGAATTCCGTACTGAAACCAATGCCAAATGATAGATCAGTCCAAGAGCTATTGATTTATGTAGGTTTTGTCTGGTAAAGAGCGTAGCATTACCCTTCGGGGTGGCCCAGTGGTTTGGGCTTGGGACTTCCATGTTGGAGGTCTCAAGTTCGAAACCCCTTGCCAGCGAAAGCAAGGGATTTGCCTTCTGGGTCGAGCTCGTCGCACCGGGCTTGCCTAGTGCGGGTTACCTCTCCTATGTGGTTTGCGAGCTATTGCATAGGAGCGAGGGTTTTACCCTGTGCGCACCCAAAGGGTAGCGGCTGCGGGTTTCCCTTGTCATCAAAAAAAAAAAAAAGAGCGTAGCATCAAAAATTTGAGTAGGAAAAAAGTAAGAATTTTGGATATTCTGAAAGTCGTAGAAATGGGGGTGAGTTTTGAATTATGGATCATGGTAAAGGAGAAGCAGACGATTCAATTGGTGTTATTTGAATGTGAATGGAGGTTGCCGGCTGGTGGCGGTGATGTCTGACCAGCGGAGATAGTATGGCAAAGGGTGGTGAAGTGGTAGTCTGTGGCGTGGCGATTCCCCACCGCCTCAAGGAGAGAATAGAAAAAGATGCTAAAGGGTTTGGGGACTAGGATTTTACAGAAATCTGGCCAAATGGTAATAAAGGAGTAATTGGGAAAAATCTTGTAAACTAGATGACTGAATAGGTATGGGCTGTAATTCTCCTGTAAATAAAAATGCTCAGTATGATGCATCTCAATTTAAATGCTTGAAGCAGTTAGGCCTTGAATGATAGGCCGACTACAAAGTGGGACTTAAATTTTACCTGTGGAATATGACTCAACTTATCAACTTACCTAATATATGAGTCAGATCTGTGATTCATATATGCAACTTTACATTGGTTAGAATAAGCTTTGATTTTCAGTCCCTTGTTATGGATGATGTCTTCAGCCATGAAACATCTCAGAACTTCCTCCATCAGTAATCTGTCATCCTTCGGGTATTTAATTTGTAACAATTGCCTCTTTTTTTTTATTACTGTGTTATTAGGTTTTTCTTCACAATGAAGAATGTGAAAAATAGTGGGGATGTGAATAGACACTTCTTGGGAAATAGGAACTGATTAGAAATTAGAATCTTCTGTTAGAATCATCATCACAATTCTTGGGAAATAGGAACTGATGTTTAGAAATTAGAATCTTCTGTTAGAATCATCATCACAACTCTTGGGAAATAGAAACTGCTGTTTAGAAAGTAGAATCTTCTGTTAGAATCATCATCACAAACTCAATAACCAGCCAATCTTTATTTTGCATGATTGTTAAAATGTAATGCTCAGGTGCACCTTGTGGACCTTTTGAACTGTTGCATGAAATCCTGCTGTTAGTTTCGTGAGTTAATCAAAGACTGAGAATTGGACGTGAGACCTTTTGAAGCTTGTATTTGTCCATTCACGAGAAAGGTCATGCAGAGACTATAAGTCTTCTAGTGTTTCATATGCAATCTGATGAGTTTTAACATTTTCAGGTTGAAAACCAGTCAGGCTTAACCCTTGTTTGTCAGTTCTACGATAATCAAGATGTATCAGTTGCAGGAAGACACGCCACTACCATTTTCTTGAGGTGCTTCCCATAGTTTACAATTGTTCTGCTTGATTACTTGAAACATCCGCTGCTATGATTCTGCTCAGTACCTACCTTGGAGAGTCAATCAACAGCGTTTAAACTACAGAACTGAACCTACTGATTTTTATTTTTTTTGAAATGGTAAAGTTTACTCCATACAGTAAAAAGATAGAATTTGACCTATTGGTCATTGAAAAAAAAGAAGAACAATTTAAACTATAAAACTTGACCTGTCACAGCAGAATCAGGTGGGAGTTTAATTATCATATGCCATTTAAATGATTGTGAATGTTGTAGTTTCCCTTTGTGCAATTTTAGAAAAACAAAGTTGTTTTTCATTTGAATTCCTTCTCTTTCTTTTATCTCGATATAATCTTCTAGATCAGTGAAATTCACATTTACTCGAGCAACCTAACCCTGTTGCACTTCCTCTATTTCACTCAGCTTCTTCCACAGAAGACATGCAATCAGTTTTTTGTAGTGTGTGGCCATTGTGCTTCTGCTATGCTTGATAGTTATACACCTGCCCCCAATCTTGTGCCTAGCTTCGCAACTCGCATCCATATTTCACCCTTGCTCAGTACAAGATAATGCCAGATTATGAAACAGAAAAGGCATGATGTATGTGTATGTTTGGAATATGTTTTTTTATCTCGCCGCTGACATTTTCAATTGCGTATCAGATTTATACTGAGTAAGCTCCACTGTCCTGGGCTTATAGTACATAATATCCTTCACAATTTTCCTTTTTTTTGTTTTGAAAAGTTAATAATGGTGTTTTCATTGGTATATTTGCCTTTGTGCAAGCACATTCTATTTGGATTAACCTGTGTGCTCATCATGTGAGGAGCCTAACTCTTTGTCTGTAAGGCACATGGCTTTGGCAAATCGACCTCCGGAGGCATCATTTTTCTCTATCCAGCTTATAGAGCGAGGATTACTTTCTACTTCTCTACTTCATCTTTCGCTATTGGAAACCCAGTCATTTGCATGGAGACCACGTATCGTATCTCTGCAAGGTGCTTCAGGCTGCTCTTCCTCAACTTGTTCTTTTAAAATATATATATATATATATATATATATATCGTATCTAGAGATATCATGAACTTTTAAGACTTGGATTTTGGACTAGCTGACATCACCTATACCGATTGACTTCCAGTTCTTTGTACATATTCAATGATTTCTAACTTTAGCTTACTGACGTTATTTGCTTTTTCCGCTACAAATCAGAGTCAAAAACTTACCCTGGTCCATTTCTTGTGGCTGAAGTTTCACCCGGGACTGAGGTATCTCTGCTGTTCCTTTTTAAGATGGAAATCCAAACTTGACTTAATTTATTAGTTTTCATTCCTCTTTCTCGATGTTTGTAGGATTACTTGTCAATTGTCGTGTCTCCATTACTTAGGATACATAATGACACCAAATTCCCAATGGAGCTGCGTTTTCAACGTCCTCAGCATAAGGAAATTGATTATGCTTCTGTGAGGCTTGAGGCGGGGGACACAATCGACGATTCTATGACAGCCTTTAGTGCCATAAATCTCTCTGGGGGACGGAAGAAGACACTGAATTCTTTGAGTGTTGGTATGTTTCAAGCATATTTCCCCCTTTCATGTTTTGATATGGAAATTGCCTGCCTATGAGAAAAAGAACTTTATGGAATTGATTCGGATGTCAAAAATTTACCTTTCAACTCCTATTTAGACTCTTCCAAAAAAAAAAACACTCCTATTTAGAGCCTATTTAGATTGGCTTATTTGAGGTGTTTTTAAACAAAATAGCTTTTGAACACTTTTGTAGCGTTTGGGTAAAATAAAAAAGTGCTTATAAGCACTTGTTTTTAAGCCAACAACAACATACCCATAGAAATCCGACTAGGTAGGGTCTGGGAGGATAGAGTATACATAGTTCTTACCACTACCTCAGGAAGGTGGAGAGGCTGTTTTCAGAAGACCCTCGGTTCAATAGGCACTTGTTTTTAAGTCAAAATAACAAAAATAAGCCAAAAACCGTAAGTTAGAAATTTTAACTTTATGGCTTTTGGCTTATAAGTCGTAAGTCAAAAGCTAATCCAAACAGGCTCTTATAAGACAAGGGATATCTTGTCTAGACTCCTCAATAGGGATAAAATCTGCTATCTTTGATAGTTTCTGTAAATTGAAAATTCTGAAAATTTGTCCATAAAAGTTCTTAACTGGAATTTTAGAAACCCTTGAAATTGAATGAGAACAATACAGACTTAAAATAGGTGAAAATAACCAAGCTTTTCATCACAAAACAAAGATATACAACCCTCAAAAGTTTGATTGTAATCTGGACGGTTTTTTACTTCGAGTAATCGAGATTAACCTGAGCTATTGGCTCTGTGCATGACACTTCTGTAGAAGAACTTAAGCCTAAGAATGAATTTTGTATCAGATTCTAGAAGCTGTTCAAGGCACATAGAGTGGTAGCAGGAGCTAGAATTCAGTTGTTCGATACTAGACTTTATATCAGCTCATCATTTTGCTTGAATATATTCTTGGAACAAATTTACCGTGTGTATATGACCTTTGCTTAATTATGTGTCTTCCTTTGGCAGGGAACACTAGATCTATGGTATGTGACACATGGCCCAAAAAGATTAACATATTCTTAGTTAAGCCTTAATAAATTCATGCTGTCTTATTACAAGTATATAATTTGTGCTCTGTTCTGATGTAAGAAGATTTGGGAATTTTAAATGCAGAAAAGGGAAGTCTGAGATAAAAATTTGCTGAGTGGTACCTAAGTATTTCTGTGTCTCTTAAAGCGAAAAGCACAAAAAAGCGACAACGTCTCTGAGGCTTGAAGCAAAAAGTGAGAAGGGAAAGCGCCACCTTTTTTTGATAAAGTTAAAGTTGTATTCTTCAGCATTAAGGGTATGCTGGCTACCTCCAAAAAGTTACAATCTAAAACCATAATTACATAGATCCTAGGAAATCTACCAACTATTCTACTTCTTCTATACCATCTTCTTTACACCAAAAAAACAGCATGTTAATGCAATTTTCTTTAACTTTCTGAATAGAGTTAGTAATATTCTCATGACACCTAAGGTTTCTCTCTCCAAATAGCCCAACAGACACAAGTAGGTACTATAGACCACCATCTTTTTTGGGTCTTGCTCCCCCCGCCCCTCCTCATCCAGCAGCTCAGAAGATCAGTAGTATGTTCTGGCATCACCCAGGGCTCTTGAGAAATGCTGAGAACCATGCGCCACACCTGGCCAGTAACCCTACAGTGTAGGAATAAGTGGCTGTTAGTTTCTTCCTTCTCATGACAAAAGAAAACATCTGGAAACAATCTGGAAGCCTCTTTTCTTGAGTTTTTCCTGAGTGAGACATGCCCTTCTGATGACCAACCAGGTGAAGGCATTTCACCTTGGTTGGGGTGTTGCCCTTCCATATTTGTTTCCATGGACCAAGAATTCCCCCAGAGTGAGTCATGACCTCTCTCTTATACAGTCTACGTACAGAGAGCTTACCATCAGAGTTATGTTTCCATCTTATACTATCTGCTTCTGTAGTAAGGCCCGTGAATTCACCCAATTTGAGTAGCAGTTCAGCAATTCTATCCACTTCGAAAGTGAGGTTCCATCCCTGAGGGGACCAAATCTCAGCAATTTTAGCCTCAGGATTGGTACAAAAAGAAAAAAGATCGGGGAAGACCGAGTTTAACATCTAAGTACGATAAGGGAAATTTTACCCAACTCTAGTCAAAGGACCAAACACTTCTCAATTGGATCACTTGCGCATCATTGTTTGAACACATGGCTTCACTCATGAGGCGATAACTCCTTGCTTCGCATTGCTTCATTGCTTTAAGCAACAAAGGGATGTCTTTTCATAACACTGATATTGCAAATGACTCCTATTATGTTTAGTTCTTATTAGCTAATTACCTAAAACTTTGTTAAGGGCTCAATTGCTTTTGGAAACCATGACAGATCTGATGGTTTAACAGAGAGATTAAAGGTGCTTCAGAGGTTATGATGTTAAAAACTCAGTTTCTCATAAAAACAAATACAGAAATCTGCTAAGACTCAGTTGATCCCGTCATAAAATACTATATTTCTGTCTTCCCCTGTAGTAAATGTGCAATGTCAAATTTTCTTACTATTGTACTTAGTTTGAACCTATGTTGCATGAACTCTTCACTTTCGATGCTGAATGCGAGCCGGATTCTCCAAAAACACACTACTTTTGAAGAATCCGACACACAACCATTGACATTTTTGAAGAGTCCGAGCAACATAGAATGGACATAGTTGATGTTCTGTTACAGCTGATAGCACTTGTTTATTCAAGCCAGCTATTGATGCCCCTTAATCTCTGAATATGCTCCTACCAAGGAAATTCATGATGTTGGAAATTAATTTGCAGGTAACTTCCTTCTTTCTTTTAGACCTGAAGTTACAGATGTCTTGACAAATTTTGAGAACCCATCAGCTTGCTGGTCAGATGATCTTAGAGGTGGAAAGCCTGTTAGACTATCTGGGATATTTGATAAACTAACTTACCAAGTGCGGAAAGCATTTTCTTTCCAACCAATCAAATATTCCTTAAGTACGGCACATTGTGCTATTGTGTCAGAGGATGGACGAGTTGCAAACATTCATTTTCTGGTCGAAAGCATTGGGAAAGACGTACCTATCATATATCCAGATAACTTTGGATATGTGCGTGTAGATAAAAATCCACCAGTTGCCTTGCAAGAGCAGAAAGAAATATTTCTGCTTCCTACTGTTCGCTTCACCAACTTCTTAGATATGGAGATTCATGTGAAACTCAATGATACAGGTGATAGCAAATCAAATATGGTTCAAATGTTAGTTGATGCATTTTATTACTGACTACTGCTTTTGTACAGGTCTGCCATCTACTAATAGTGTTGACTGCATATGCAATGAGGCTACTATTCACTCTGGGTCGGCTGTCAACTTACATGCAAATCCTGCTGCAATTTATTTCACTGTTACCTTAACTTCATTTGGTACAAGCTGCAAACCAATCAATAGTAGTGACAGTGCGAGAAGGCTGCAGAAGCGCAAAACTAAAGTTCAGTTTTTGGATATCGAATTAGATTTTGACAATGGGAAGTATTTTGCATTACTGAGATTATCTCGTGGACTAAGAGGGATATTGGAGGTAATGTTCCTACTGAGCTGATTATTACCTTACGGCTAGGTGTTAAATTTGCCTCTGTGTGTGCAGGCTGCTGTTTTTACTTCTTACACCTTGGAGAATAATACCGAATTTCCCTTATTTTGTTTTCCTGCAAATCATAAGCTTGTTTCTAGGTAATCTTCAATCCAAGATGATTTGTAATTTTTTCGTTTGACTCAGTTTTGTTCTTTGCTGAGTGATACTATTATATCCAGGCATGCCGGGGAAAATATTGCTTCCCTAGTGTCTCCAGAATTAGGATCTTATCTTCCTCCCAGATCAATAAAATCATGGCTCAGCAAGTAAATTATTTTTACTAGTTTTATTGAGTCCATATTGTCTCTCCTTTTCCATCTATCAGCGGTTTTGACATAACAGTTTTTGACCCTGCATGATTCCTGCTTACCATTACTAGATGCCACAAGGTGCACATCACACTCTTGGATGAGAGAGCTTCCAAAGCACCCTTGAACTTGGATGTTTTATCAGGCCTTACAGGGTTGAACCTTGAAGTGGAAGGAGAATATGGTTCCAAAACTGTTACGAAGTTAGGAGTCTCTTTGAAACCATCTGCTAGCAAAGTAGTTCCACTGCAGGTTGTATCAATGTATCCCAGATATGTCATACTAAATGAGTCAGACGAAATCATCACTGTCCGTCAATGTTTCGTGGAGGTTAGTCTTTGTTTTAGTTTTTTGATCCTAGCTTTCACTTGCTGTGTTAAACTGATAGAGTTGAGGACTAAATCCATTTTTGTCTTAGGAGGATGGCACTGACACAGTTGTTACACTCAACAGTAAACAGAGAACAGCATTAACTTTGAGGAGTAGAAATGAGATAACAACAATGAAAAGAAACCCCTTCTTAGAGAATTTCCTCAAAAAACATGCAAAATCCCATAATGACTCATCATTTTTTGTTCAATTTCAACCAAATAAGGCCAATTTCTCCTGGTCAGGACCAGTTTGTATTGCTTCACTTGGACGATTTTTTCTTAAATTCAAGAAGTCGTCTGATTCTGTTCAACAATCAGATCTTGCAACACAGCATAACTCAGACATCTGTGAATTTGCCACTGTTCATGTGGTTGAAGATGGTCCTACAATTGTATTACGCTTCTGTTGGCCAGCAAATATAGACCTGCCTTACCGGATTGAGAACCACTTGGAAAATACTTCTATTACATATTATCAGAAGGTTTTGCATATGTTTTCATTGTTTCCAATGCTTTGACCTTGCAAGTTGCAACGTATTGTTCTCAGGCAATTAACTCTTATTGTGTTCCTATATCTTGGTGAACCTGCAGGGTTTACCAGAGCCGGAAGTTTTGGCATCTGGAAGTAGTGCTGGCTATGTCTGGGATGACCTGAGACTTGACCATAAGCTTGTTGTCCAGATTGGCGGTAGCTGTCGACTTCTTAAAACTTCTACTAGAACAGATTCTAAATAAGTTTAATTGCATATATTAATGATGCACACTCATTATTTTAGTCTCCTTTTTTCAGTTAAGATTAGTCTGTTGTATTTTATGCATTGATTTTGAATAGCGTGAACCATCTAATCCAAAAGTTTTTGCTGTTAAAAGGGGGGGAAAATTATTTGATTAGTCAAGTTATAAAGCAGTGTTTTCACAGAATTCACATTAAAAATTGAATTTCAAAGTTTTATTTAAAGATGATACATTTCTGTGAAAAGGTATGGTAATATATCAATAAAAATCAACTAATATGTCTTAGTCCCAAACTAGTTAGGATCACCTATATATGCATCCTCCACATTCATTTCATCCAATTTAGGCCAGGTTGTTGCTATGCTTAACAATATGTCGTTTAAGGCAACATAACCAGACGTTTGCTAATGCTCACACTTATCCTTACACTACCATTGAAGTCTCTAACCAGATCAAAAGGAATTTTAGTGCAACAGTCGCAGCGACAACTGAGCCTTAATCCTCACTAGTTAATATCGTCTATATGGACCATTTCCTTGCTTAAAAATTATATCTAGGAAAATGAAGAATCAGTTGTGCTCTCTGTTGAACTGGAGGTACTGTTTTTACCTTTTATGATGGGAAGTGCGTGTCTTGTTCACTTGTGTATGTATTGTTTTAAAAAAAAAAAAAAAGAATCAGCTGTGCTTTCTGTTTGATTGGAGGTACTGTTTTTACCATTTGTGCTGGGAAGTACTTGTCTTGTTCACATGTGCATGCATTTTTTTTTCCAACTTAGTATGACGGTATAATCCCATTTTGGTAGTTTTTATCTTGCAGCTGTACATCTACAACGTGAAATAAACTTGGATAAAGTGCGTGAATGGAAACCATTTTACAGAATTAAGCAACAGAGAGGTTTAGGGCTTCATTTACCTCTGGAAAAGAAGCCAGAAGATCCAAAGAAAAATTGGTTTCGGCAATTAACTGGCATGGAGATCAATAAGCTAGGTTATGAAGTATATGCAGAGGGCTTGACTAGGGTTCTGAGAATTTGTGAGTTTTCTGATAGACGAAGAAGGGACACTTCATTCCATTCCTGCACAAAGATGCAGCTAAGAATCTCCTGTTTTGCAATTCAATTACTGGAACGTGCAAAGCAAGTAAGTATATAATTATTTTGGTTTTTTGCCATCATTGTGTCCTTAACCATTTTTCATATAGCTGTTTGATTATTTCAAACTAACAGTTTCAATGTGCTTGAGTGAATTGATTTTCTCTGGAAAAATTAATACCTAGTTGGCTAATCTTGAATAAGTTATACAATGAAAATAGTATGTTCCCTTCCATTGGAAATTTCCCTTAAGAATGGGTCATCTGCATAGACATCCAAACTGACTTTCTTGTTGAGGAGGTTTTGCACTTAGGAAATGGACATTTTTTTTAGTAATATCAGACTAGAGGTTACTTGTCTTCTGTTTCTTGAGATCAATCTTATTCATTTTCTTTCCTGTGATGAAATGTAATGGTGTATCATCTTCCATGGTATGTTCACATTCCCCTCTAAGTCAAATACTCCCTTCTTCCGTAGTTTTTCTTGAAATTGGTAACTGGTTAGAAAAATTTAATGCCGGCCACTGAATTTTCAATTGCTTGTAAGCTTTCTTCTTTCTCACTCTACCCTTACACTTTACACCCAAAACCGCCAACCTATGTTGGGTGGTCTAGGTTGGTAGTCAACACTTCTCCTGGTACAACTTTACAGTCCGTACATGAGGTTCTGTCCCATCGTACTTGGGACAAATCTAATTGTCAATGTTCCCCAGACTCCACTTGTGGATTACATTGGGTATGCGTTTTTGTGGGAATATCTTTCTTTAACATGTGTTAGCTTCTTCTAAATCAAAGCTAAAGCGAACTGTAGGATAGCTTTTCCTTCCTCATTTCCAGTTCTATATAGTGCTTCGTCTAAACCATGAGTATCTTTACCCCCGTGACCATTTAGATCTCCACTAGTGAAGATATATTGGTTGCCTGGAATCCCTTGAACCAGGGTGTTATATTTTCCCAAAATTTAGTTTTAGCTTCCGTATCTAATCCTATTTGTAGAGCGTATGCACTGATAATATTGATTGTTTCATTTTTCCATGTAAGACTTAATGGGAACTCGCTTTACCCTATCACTTTATCGTTTAGTCCTGGTTCTACAATAATTCCCACTCCATTCCTATTCTTTTTACCCCACAATATCATAATTTAATTAAACATGTGTTACTATCTCTCTAGTGTTTATCCCTGTCCATTTAGTTTCTTGTAGGCATGCAATATCAACACTCCTCCAACAACGACCACCACTAGCCAAAACATCATTACTGACCACCACCATCACTGGCTTTTAGAGTGTGGTTCCTTAAAGAAACAATCATACAACACCATGTTAATTAATATTTTCTCTAGTATTTTGTGGATATAACAATTATTGTTTAATTTATTTGAATTCTATATTTTATTTTATTTTTGAATCAGGAACTTTGTGTCATATCAGGGATCAAAACAGTACTTGGCTAGTACTGAGACCATATTTACAATAGAGCTCTAGTGTCTTCCCTCTCTAGCTATAAAGAATCTAGAACATCTATGATAGACACGATATCATTAGAGTAAATCTGATTACACCAAAAACGTAGCAGTAAGATGAAGTTATTGGACAAACTTAGGAGAGATTTCCTTTGGCATGGTTGCAAAGAGAACAAAGGATGCAATTTGGTCAAGTGGGCGACAGTTTTGCTTAGAAAAGATAAAGGTGGCTTGGGCATTCGAGATTTGAGGGAGCATAACAACAGTCTTTTGATGAAATGGTTGTGGAGATACACTGAGGAGAGGCAAGCTTTGTGGAAAGATTTGATTAAATGTAAATATGGGGAGGATGGATTCTGGTGTAGTAACATAAGCACGGATGCTTATGGAGCGGGGATTTGGAGAGCTATTAGAAACTTATAGCCCAAGTTAGAAGAAAATTTACATATCAAGGTCGGGGATGGAAGGAGAACTAGATTCTGGTGGATGTATGGATCAAACAAACCCCTTATAAGACCTGTTTCCTGATCTATTTATTTTGTGCACCAATTCTGAGGCAATGATCAGTGATTGCTGGACAGTACAAGGTTGGAATCTCAATTTCAGAAGACTTCTAAATGATTGGGAAATAGAGAGAGTAGCCAAATTGTTGGAGGAAGTGGGGGATTTTGCAGACACCAATACTGCCAATGATGTTGTTAGATGGTCACACAGTAAGGATGGGATCTTCGCAGGTGGCACGGCATATAAAAAGGAGTGCAACTCACAAAGTAGCAGATACCGAAATTCATGGAAAAATATCTGGAGGACTGTAGCACCAACAAAAGTTAAATGCTTTACTTGGTTGGTCATTAGAAAGGCATGCTTGACACATGAAGTCTTGAGGAAGAAAAGAAAGATCATACTTCCGTGGTGCTCTTTATGTGGGAAGACAGGGGAAACTAACAGTCACCTATTCTTACATTGTACTTTCACAGCACAAATATGGTCCATGTTTCTCAACTTTTCAGAAGTGAAATGAACTATGCCCGAACATACAGCTAATTTACTTAGTTGTTGGATCAGGAGAAAGGAGAGGAATAGTAGAAATTTTGAAGATATATCCAATTCCATTCACAAGGTTAAATGGAATTGCATTGTATCTCTATATTTTTGTTGTAAAGAGATAGGATTAGAGGATTCAGATCAACTTTTAGAATTCTTAGGATCCTTGTAAGTATTATGCTTTTTGTTCTTTTCTGATTTTCTAAAGGTCCCCATGCTGAAGAATACAATGTTTACCAATTCTCAAAAAAAGAAGAAGATGAAGTTCAATTTGATCTTCTGCACATCATTCTCTAAGCTCTCAAAACATCTGGAATTCCTCTCCTTCCAAATTGTCCACTAGATACAAGCTAGGACATTCTCCATCCACTCCTATCCCAGTGTTTTGGACGGCGAAAGACGACAAAAGGCGACAAGGGCCTGAGGCGAGGCGCTCGCCTTTTTGAATTAAGGCGTCAACTAATACCAAAAATTTAAAATATTAACTACATATATAAATATCCAAAATCTCAATAGCAAGAACATATATTAGCAAATATTTCAATTCAAAAACTAATAGTAGATAATAAAAGTCCAGAACTTGAATGACTCAATAATTCATAAGACAATTGACAAGCAATACTATATTAATTTAGTATAAAACTAAATTGAGTAGGGAAGAAATAAATATAGAAGGATAGAATTTTTTAAAAAATATAGGCAGTCAGTTCACTGTTCAACAGTAGCTTGAAAATTTTAAAAAAAACAGAGCACTGTGCCACTACCACTGAAAAACAGAGTAGAGAAGAAGAAGAAGAGAAAAAGAGAAGAAGGACAGAAAAAACAGAAGAAGAGGAGAGGAACAGAAGAAGAAGAAGAAGAAAACAAGAACTGAAGAAAAAAAAAAGAGAAGAAGAACTTATGTACCGAGCAGCAATCGCAAAGGTCTTGTCCTCTCGAAGGCCAGAGAGTTGCGACTCGCGAGGAAGAGGAGAAGAAGAGCGTAGGTCGCAATAGAAAGAAGAGGAGCCCAGGTTTGCAAAAACACCCAAAACAACCCTAATTTTGCCTTTTAATTATTAAATCAGACCCTTTTAAAAAGAAAAACTGAAAAGGCGATGCCTTTCACCTCGCCTCGCGATGTTGCCTTTCACCTCGCCTCACCTCACCTTTGGCAAGAAGGCGAGCGCCTTTCAGAACACCGTCCTATCCTTAGCATGTGAACATGTTCCTTCCCAGCTGCTAAGAGCCGTTGTTATCTTGCCTGGCATTGTCCATGCTATACCCTTAAGGTTTAGGATGATTCTCCACAAATGAGATGTGTATGGACAATGCAAAAATAGATGGTTAAATGTCTCAGCTGTTTTTTTACACAAGAAGCATCTTGAGCACAGTTTCATACCTCTGCTCATCAAGTTGTCCACTGTTAGAGTGGCCTCCTTTGCTAGTAAACATACAAAAATTGATACCTTGTGGGGAACTTTTATCCTCCAAATCTGCTTCCATGACCAGTTTGCTATCTGGTGGTTGGACTGGTTCATTATTTTGTAGGCAGCATTGACCTTAAAAATGTCGTTGAAGTTGCCCTGCCACCATAAATGATCTTAATCAGCTTGAACCCTAGGAAATTGATCGAGTTTGCTGAGAAAATCAGCCACTCTTTGAACCTTCCAATCATTGAAATGTCTTCTAAAATTCAAGCTCCACCCGTCAGATGTCCACATGTCAGCTATAGTTTTTTGTTGGTGAAGGACTAGGTTGAAGATATCCGGAAAGACCCGTTCCATGATTCCAACCTCATTCCAAAAACTAGTTTTGTTTCCATTTGCCACTTTGATTCTTGATTGGGTTTTCAACTCACTCCAGAGGACTCTGATAGACCTTCATAGGCTGGCCTCATATGGTGTATTGACCTCCTTGGTCATCCAGCTATCCTTTTGTTCATATTTGGCTTTAATCAGTCTTCCCCACAATAGGTGGTTTTCTTTAGTGAACTTCCACAACCACTTCATTATTAGAGCTTTACTTTGGATTTTCAGGTTCTTGATACTCAAGCCACCCTACTTTTTTCCACAAATGACTGAGTTTCACTTGACCATATGATAGCCTTTCCTCTCTTTGTCACCATGCCATATGAAGTTCCTTCTGATTCTATCCAATCTCTTGATGACCCCTGCTGGAATGGGAAACAATGACATCATGAATGTTGGAAGTGAATCAAGGACTAAGTTGATCAAAGTCAGTCTACCTCCTCTTGACAAGTATTGGGTCTTCCATCTTGCCAATTTCTTTTCACATTTCTCAATAACAGTATCCCAAATCTCAATAGACTTTGACTTGGCCCCAAAGGCATTCCTAGATAAATGGTTGGCAAAGACCCTACCTTTCCTCCTAGAATAGATGCCAATAGGTTCATGTGGGGAACATCACTAATGGGGTAAAGGAAGCTCTTACCCCAGTTAATGAAGGCCTGAGATGTCTTCAAAGAGCACTAGGAGTATTTTGAGATGTCTCAATTGGTTTCTATCAGCATCACAAAATATGAGGATGTCATCAGCATATTGCAAATGAGTCACCTCTAGGCTATCACTACTCCCTGCCCTAGCTACCTCAAAACCCTATATCCATCCATACAAATTAGTTGTTTTGAACATAATGTTCAGTCCTTCCATGGCAATGATAAACAAAAAAAGGAGACAAAGGATCTCCTTGCCTGAGACCCCTCTGAGCCTTGAAGAAGCCAGAAAGTGATCCGTTAATTAACACAGAATAACTAACAGTGGATATACAAAATCTGATCCAGTGTATCCATTTTTTCCCAAAACCCAACTTCTTCAGCATACATAGCAAGTACTCCAAGTTTACATGATCATATGCTTTTCTCAATCTAGTTTGCATAGGATACCAGGTTTCTTTTGTTGCACTCTTGAGTCTATTGCTTCATTTGCCACTAAAACTGCAAATCACTCATTTCAGCCTCTCTGTCACTTAAGAGAATAATTTGTAGATGTTTCCTATCAAGCTAATAGGCCTATAATCTCTTAATTCCTTAGCACCTTTCTTCTTAGGGATAAGAGTTATGAATGTTGCAATGAAGCTTCTTTCAAAAATTTCCTGCTCATGGAAGTTATGAAAGGCATTCATAATGTCCAATTTCACAATCTCGAAACCCATGGAGAAACCATCTGGACAAGGAGCTTTATCTCCTGCCCACAATTTCAAACACCTTAAGACTTCCTCCTCAGTGAAGTTTTCCTGCAATCTCACCTTGTCTTCCACTGAAAGAGTGGGACAATTATTGAGCATGCTGGTAGGTCTCTAGTGAGTGGTCTCTGAATACAACTTTTGGTAGAAGTCAATAATGGCACTTTCTATTCTTGTAGACTTCTCGGTTAATTCGCCTTGTACCATAAGTTGGTCTATGTAATTGAACCTTTTATGAGTGTTTGCAACTTTATGAAAGAACTTGGTGTTCCTATCGCCTTCCTTTAGCCATAAGGCCCTTGACTTCTGCCTCCACGCAACTTCTTCATTTTTAATCAGACCCTCAAATTCTAAGGTTAAAGCTGCTTTCTTGGATGATTCTTCTTCTGTGAGAGGTCTATATTCCAGTATCAAATCCATTTCAGCCATTTGTTCTAAGGTTTGTTTTCTATGGATCACTAGGTTGCCAGCCTCACTTCTGCTCCATTCCTTTAGTTTATGTTTGAGTGCCTTCAATTACATGATAGCACAAAGTCAGGCCTCCCTTTAAAATTGAAAGAGTTCCACCACTCTTTGATCCTGTCACTGAAGCCTGCAGTCCCAAGCCACCAGTTTTCAAATTTAAAATAGTTCTTCTCTTTTTCCAAGAACCACCGTGTAAAACCAAAGGAATGTGATCAGAGGCCAACCTTTGCAAAGGGGACTGCTTTTATGTTGCTAAAACAATCATCCCATTCTTCTGAGAGCAAGAATCTGTCGATCCTGGAGGCTGTGTCTTGATTGTCCCCCTTGAACCAAGTATAACTGCCATCTTGCAGCTGAAGGTCTATTAAGTTCATATCTTCAATGAAATCTGAGAACTCTATCATCCCTCTCGATCTCCTGTTGCAGTTTCTCTTCTCCGTATATTTATTATTTTAACGAAAGGTAAATTTTCTTTTCTGAAGTTGAGAAAACAAACGATCTTATTAATTCAATATTCAGAACTTAGGTACAATGTCTTAGTAATAAGATGTGTACTTATGTTTAGACATCTTAACTGTAATAAAAACAAACGGAGGTTAATATAATCAGATAAAGAAATCATCCCATTGTCTCACTGCTTGAATCCCCAAATTGAAATAGAGCTTGTGAGTGCTAAAGACTCTTGGGAATATTCTGGAAAAATAACCAAATTGCTGGAAGATCATTGGGGATGGTTGAGACTTGATTTCAGATCAATGATTGGGTGAAAAATGGATGAAAGCTCTTGAAAAGGAAAAATCTGGAAAAAAAAAACTGATTAGAGGTTCATAAATATCGTCCGGAAATTTGGAAAATTGATTGGGTAATGTTTCAACCTCAGTCGACTCTTAGGCTATAATCCTAGAAAATAGCTAAAAGTTGAGAATCTCATCAGAGGGGACGACAAATTCATTCCAACCCCAGCTTCCGGCCATCAGAGACTCCTGGAACTTGGATGGGGTGGTTTTGGAAGGCTGACTTGACCCCCAGAATTTAAAGAGCCCCTTATAGCAGGGAAGTTAGCACTTGCTGGCACCAGAATTCATTGAAAGATTCCAACTTCTGTTTGGTGCATAGCACTGTGCAAGCTTCTGATGATGATGTGGCCTCTTAGTTGGTTGCTTGCTTAAGAATATCTAATCTTCTTTGGTGCTTGATTATGTGCAACACCCACAGAAATGCAAATGCAATGGTTGCCAAATAACGTCTAATGGTGAAACTCCGTCTTTTTGACGATGCTGGTAAATGCACAATGAATGTTTCTTACAGAAGCTCTGGTAAACTGGTGGTATGCTTATATACACTTGAACAATCTTCTCTGCTTGAGCTAAGCTCTTGGGGTTGAGTTAGACCTAAGCCCTATATCTTTACATGGTATTTGTAACACTCCCCCTCAAACTAGGCATGATCAATATGTATGCTCCAGCTTGAGGGGAGTGTTATAGAATGTATATAGACTTCATTGTTCATTCTTAGCAAAGTACATAGCCATATTTAGGTAGCAAATTTGTAGGAATCCTTCTTTATTTCTTTCCTTAATTAACACCTAATGTATTGTATTTAGACATTGCTTACAGCTTACCCATTGGAATACTATAACTTCTTCCATCTGATTACATGGTATTAGTGCCAAGTCCTTCCCCGTTTAGGTAGCAAATTTGTAGGAATCCTTCTTTATTTCTTTCCTTAATTAGCACCTAATGTATTGTATTTAGACATTGCGTACCTATTGGAATTATTCAACTTCTTTCATCCGATTACATGGTATCAGTGCCAAGTCCTTCCCCGTTTGTGCCCCCGTGTTATATTGTCCATGCTCCATTGGGCCTAGGCATGAAGGAGGTGTTAGAATGGGTTAAAGGCTCACATTGGTTGGGGAATGGACTGGTTATCTGTTTATATGAATTTGGGCAATCCTCCTTTCTTGAGCTAGCATTTTGGGTTGGATTAGGCCCAAGTGTTGTATCTTAACGAGAATATACAAAATTCTAACTATCTATTTGGGACACTAACTCTATGTTACATAGTGTTTGTCTAATATTTGAAATAACTACATAACAGATGTAGAATCACTTCTCCTTGTAAATATAATCTAGAGAAGTCTGTGAATGTCCACGAAGTCAAAAAAACAGAACCTCTAAGCATATTCAGAAGTTGCATTCTAAAGACAAGAAGATTTGCTTCTTTTCTGTAAGGAAAGCAAGAAGACTGTTCCGGGATCATGAGGATAGTGCTTACCCCTTTCTATGGAACAATTAGTCTTCTGATAGTGCAAACTCAGGTCACTATCCTGCTGGTTGTAGGTATTCCCTGATGTTCCTTTGTCATTAAGAATGTGGGCTATGATTCAGCTTTGTGATCAAGTAAGATGGGAAGGAAGAGAGAAATTTGACATCATAGTTCATCATATAGCTTGTGTATATTTGATAGCCAATAACAAACTCAGCTTGGCTTCCATGTGGCATTTTATTGCAGCCTGATTAATTGTGCTCAATTGCTTAAAAGATTTTCCCTCTGTTCCAAAAATAGTTGTCATATTTCTCTTCTCTAGAGTTAGTTTGACTAATTTCAAAGCTAAATTAGATAAAATTAATTCAATATTTTAAAATTAAAATTTAGATATTTAAAAACTATACAAAAAGTACTATAAATTGCAATTTTTCTTATATCAAATATGATGAAAAATTATATTTTAAAATGTTCGTCAAAGTTCATATGGTTTGACTCTTAAAAAGATAATTGTGGCAAGTATTTTGGAACGGAGGGAGTAGCTCATTTACCTGATGTTCATATTCGTCTTTCAACCTACTGAAGGATGTAGTTGACAAGGATAAGAGCAATGCATTGATCTATAATCCAATCATTCTGGCAAGACTAAATAGAATAGACTTTGATGCCGTGTTTGCTGAAAAGCACAAGCTCAACCATCTCAGGGTACAGGTAATTTTCTTTTCTGGTGCTTTATATTCATTTCTGTGGTGGTTCTCATCTGTCCCAAGTTTGGTTCTAGTGACTTGCCTGATGGTATTCTCAACCTCAAACTGCTAATGTCTCTGTAATCATGATGCAGTCACTGAGTGTGGAGCCTAAGTGGGTTGGAGCTCCTTTTGCATCAATGCTTCGGAGGCACCAAATAGAAAATATTGACACAAATGACCGTGTACTCCGTGTTGGACTTGTTCTAGCTGCATCAAGTTCTAGTGTCAAACATGTCCAACACTTATCAATTGTGCTCCAGGTAATACTGTGCTGTACATATATACTGCATGAATCTCTCTTCTGGAACTATCATATTCTTGTACAAGTTCCAACTGTTTTGGCAGGGACATTTAAAGGCCTTTACCATAATGTTCCAAGATCTATAGGGAATTGACGTGTGACTGGCTCACTGTCATATTTTTGTTATACTTGCATATCCTGTTTGTTCCATCTTGATACCGCTGATTTTTCTTTGCAGCCCCTTGATTTCAACCTCGATGAAGAGACATTAATGAGAATTGTTCCTTTCTGGAGAACGTCCCTCAGAGATACAAATACTCCAAGTCAAAAGTATTATATTGATCATTTTGAGATCCATCCTGTTAAGGTGTCTACAGAACTTTGGTTTCACTATGCCCCCCTCCCCAAGGAAGTTGTTTTATCACCGAGGAGGAAAATTAAGTCACAGAATTAACTCGCATTTTCTTTCCTGGTAATGTTCCTGAAGGTTGTGGCAAGCTTTCTTCCGGGGGAATCTTATGCTAACCATAGCTCCACTCAAGAGACACTAAGATCTTTACTTCACAGTGTTATAAAGGTCTGATACATAGTACTTCCTCTGTCCCTTTTACATGACACCATTTGAGTGGAATGGAGTTTAATATGTTAAGATGGCTTGTATATCACATTAAGATAGTAGTTGAAAAGTTAGTTTCAGAGAGAACACACCATGTTAAAGTTCAAATTTGAATTCTTGAAACTTGTGATAGTTGAAAACCAAAATGAAGCTAATTTACTGTTCGTGTCATTATATCTATAATTGCTTCCAATAATTATGAATATATAGTGAATTTCTTGCGGAAGCCACTACTAGGATGATGTCAACTTGTCCCAGGATGGAAGTATATAATGTCAATTGATGAGGGAATATTAAAATTCTGTACAGTTGTTCATACTTACTATTTGAGCAAAGGTCTGTTCTTGATTTTACCTGTGGTGTAACATTCTGTTTCCGATATCTGCATTTTTAGATACCTCCCGTCAAAAATATGACTGTAGAGCTCAATGGCATCCTTGTAACTCATGCATTGGTCACTTTGCGGGAGTTGTCAATTAAATGTGCCCAACATTATTCTTGGTAAGCCTGTGTTTACTTGTTTGGCTTATGCTCTCAATAATTAATGCTCAATAGTAGCTGAAAATTGTCATTCACTCTAGGTATGCAATGAGAGCAGTCTACATTGCAAAGGGAAGTCCCTTGCTGCCACCGGCTTTTGCTTCTATATTTGATGACTTAGCTTCATCATCTCTCGATGTTTTCTTTGATCCTTCTACTGGCCATCTTAATCTTCCTGGCCTCACAATTGGTATGCCCATGAAAACTCCGAAATCCTTGGCTTACTGCTTGGTGCATCCATGTTTAGACTTTAGATGAGTATTGCTCAGTTACGTGACCTGTGCTTCCATGGACAAGCATTTGTGTGGCTAATCTCCTTTGATGTAGTGATGCTTTTACGGGGTCTTTTGTTCCAGCCTCTACTGAATTTGCCTTTGCATCAGAATACCAGGAAACAAATACTTCATGTGAAATTTAAGAAAAACTTTGTGTGTTTAATGGGAGACTATTTGAATATTACTGTCTTCTTATTTTGGGTTAACATGCCTTGGCAAGGTGTGCTTCTTAGCAGATATGATCTTCTTGTGTTGGGTGCTGTTTCGGTACGCCATAAATCTTGTCAAAACTGAAACTCTTTTAGCAACATTATCATACTGAAGTGGCGTATTAGGCATAGGCGAGTGAAAATAGCTTGTCTATCAAGGCAAAATTGTGAATTACTAACTCTGCCCATTTTCTTGAGCGCCTATGACATGGAAAGTTCTTCGAATTAATGTTTAATGAGATAATTTGTAACTTAATCCAATCCAACATGATAACTAGAATAAATCTAAATCAAGGAGAGTTTTCAAACCATAAAACAGCTCGAACATTTGAATTCCAGTGCGAATAGATTATAGGATGTCAGGACTTCTATACGGTACTTTATACCCAACTCTCATGAGAGTAATGATATCAGCTGCTTTTCTGGTTCAATTCGCTTTATAATGAAAAATTAGCATGACAATCTTCGCTGCAGGTCTCTTGGAATTTACTGGCAAGTATGACTTTTCCCCATTTATTTATGTATGTTTCCTTATCAAAGTCTCTGCTTACCTTTTGGATGAAGGTACTTTCAAACTCATTCGTAAGTGTATTGATGGTAAAGAGTTTTCTGGAACAAAAAGATACTTCGGTGATCTAGGGAAAACTGTAAGTTATATATTTTTGTTAATTTTTTTGTTCATGGTTGATTTGCAATTGTCAATGACGCTGCAAAGGATGTTTCATATGCAGTTTAAGTCAGCAGGATCAAATATCCTGTTTGCTGCTGTCACTGAAATATCAGACTCGGTTCTGAAAGGAGCAGAAGCTAGTGGTTTAAATGGAATGGTAAGAACATCTTATCTAATAGCATTACAAATATTATAACTACTAAGTTCCAACTCGAAGTGTCCAACCTTGATCTAGTGCTAGTTAGGCACTATTTCAGATTGTAATTTGGCTCTGCCACCCAAATCAATTTGATGTGTTCTTTCCAGGTGAATGGTTTTCATCAAGGAATACTTAAATTGGCAATGGAACCTACGCTACTGGGGAGTGCTTTCATGGAAGGTGGCCCTGATCGAAAAATTGGGCTTGATCGAAGTCCTGGGGTTGATGAGGTACAATGCATCGCTTATCCATTTCAACTTCTTTCTGTTAGAGATAACAGATGCTGGTGGATGCAAATTTCTGCTGTTTGAGTGGGATAAATCAATGCTCCATTTTATGTGCCATCCGGAAATATTCGGACTGTTTGGTCAAAACCTCAGCTGAGATGGTAGTGTTGATTGACATAACTGGCATGGTTTTGGTGCAGCTCAGCGAGCTTTTAACTCATGTCTAACTTGCCACTCACCCTGGATCTTCATGACTCATCTATCATGTAAAAGGGGAAGAGGATGATTTTTATCATGGAAGGAATCAGTTTATACGACATTGAATAACCGCACTATAAACTGCATAAAACCTGTATAATGGTGAACCAAATAACTGTTGATGGAGTAAAAAATATCAGCTATAGACTACATGGCATTAACTTCAGGTGCAATGACTCATCATTTCTGTAGGCCTAAAAGTTGTAATATGGCCTACAGGAATCTAATTAGATCAACCATAATCTGTTTCTTATCAAATAAATGGCCTACAGGAATCTAAGTAAGATCAACCATAATCTGTTTCCTATCAAAGAAAATGGCCTACAGGGATCCAAATTCCTTTGGATGAAAGAATCTAGCTAGATGGCTCTGAAGAGCTTGGAAATTTTAAAGATAGTTGTTGACGAAGCATCTGATTTCTATCTGAGGGCCTGTTGTCAGGCTAACAATGAACATCTCCTGCTAATTCTGTTACATATCTGCTGTTATTGCTCTTGTTGTCAGTGTGACAGTTTAGTTGGTGCTCTCTCTTCTGTTGTTTTTGGGGGTTACACAAACATCTAGTGCTGAATAATTCAATGCACTGCAGTTACTATCATCTCATAACTAGTGTGTGTTTGTGATGTTATAGTTATTCTAGCATATTAAAGCATCAAATTTTAGTGACCCTTTCGGTTGTAATGCAGCTATACATTGAAGGGTATCTCCAAGCCATGTTAGATACATTGTATAAGCAAGAATACCTGAGAGTCAGAGTCATTGACAACCAGGTAACTAAATTATGTTCTCTCTGCGTGTGTGGTTTGCCCTTTTCAAAGATATGCCAAAATTAAAAACTTGTAGCACTGCTTTTTATTTACTTATAAATATGCCGCGGCTGAAAACTTCTAGCACTGTAGTTACGTTCTTCATGAGACTGAATTTTTTTGTCAGAACTACAGTAAAATTAGTAATACACTAGGGTATCTAGCCTGCTTAGCTCTAATTTCCGTTCATAGCAAATTAAGTGCCACATGTAGTGATGCCAATCTCAAAATGCAACATAAATTGCAAATGGCTTTTATGTTCTTTATATTGTGAAGGTTATCCTGAAGAACCTACCACCAAGCAGTTCTCTTATAGATGAGATTGTGGAACGTGTGAAGGGATTTCTTGTTAGCAAAACATTGTTGAAAGGAGATACTTCAACAGCTGCTCGTCCCTTGCGCCACATGAGGGGGGAACGTGTGAGTATTACTTTTTTTTTCCCTTTCATTCTTCTATGACCAGATAATTGTGGACTGAATGATTTTTGTGATCAACATATGAACTTTCCTGATATAGCATTGTTATCTCCGTGCTCCATTACTGATCAGTCGTTCCAATTTACGAGCACTCTTTGCACTAAGCATATTCTACTTGGTAAATTGAGGAATTTTGACCTCTCTGCTATATTCTCATCTTCAAGTTTTTTTTTTAACGTATGCCCCAAAGAAATATGACTTGTTCTTCAATTCTGTTGGTTTGACACTGCTATTAATGTTTATTGCTTTAGGAATGGCGAGTAGTACCAACAGTGCTGACCTTGTGTGAACACCTTTTTGTGAGTTTTGCAATTCGGATGCTACGGAAGCAAGCTAGTAAAGCAGTTGGGAAAATGAATTGGAAGCAGAAAGTGGAAGGTGATGATGAGAAAGCCATTGTACCTGCATCAGGACAAAAGCTCGACTTTGTATGGAAATGGGGAATTGGAAATTTTGTTCTATCAGGGATTCTAGCATATGTCGATGGACGATTATGTCGCTATATATCTAATCCTATAGCTAGAAGGATTGTTAGTGGCTTCCTATTAAGTTTCCTGGAGAGAAATGACAAATAACATTTTCTTTTCTTAAGCTTTTTCGAGGTAAAATAAATAGCAAGTGCATTTTATTCATATGAGAGGATAATAGATGGTCCTTACCCTTTCATTTTGATTAGTGTGTTCTATCTGTAATGGAATTAAATGTATATAACAAAGCAAAAATAAGTAAATGTTTTTGTCTTCCTATATGTTACCTGTACAAGAATTTACTTCCTACAGAATGTTGTGAAATTGAATGAAGTCGATGTCTGTGTGCTTACTTTAATCAGTTAAATTTCTTTCCTGGTGAATTTATTCATAATATTAACAAGATCAAAGTTTTTTTAAAAAACGATTATAAAATGAGCCCATAGATGTAAAATGATCAGAATAAAACTAGTGATGCAGCACACTGTTTCTTCCAATTTGCCTTCTCCTTTCCCTTTCAACCTTTTAATTTTCAACAAATTTGTCCCCACTCTTCCACTTCAGGATAAGCATTACATTTGTTAATATTGTGCTGACACTTTATTTGCTACTCGATAAGTTAAATAAATGGTTAATAGTCCACTCTTCCTATGTTTTGTTTATCAATTGATCGAGAGACACATTTATTGGGAGTTGCTATTACTTATATACTAGGTATTTATAACTAATTCAGTATATAAAAAACCACTTGCTTTAATAAAACCAGAGGAACCCAAATATGCGTTACTATATAAAAGAAGACAATATACCCACAGAAAGTTTTGGATTATGAATGCTATTTATAGATTTAGTCACAGCTCACAATTCTTCAACTTTTATGTTGTGAGAAAAAAATCTATCCAAAAGAAATATGGCTTTCGCGATATCCAAAGAGAAAATAGGCAGTGATCATCAAGATAGTGTTGAGACAGAGAGTGGAAACAGAGTAATAAGTAGCCAACTCTATTTGAAGTCGTCGTCCCATGAAAATCTTGACAAAAATGTTGTGCTGAGGAGACTTCGTCACCACAAATGCTTGCAAAAGGTTCGTGGAAATTTAAAGACTCTATTGGACAGTTATTCGACAAAAGATTATTCTGAGCACAAGTGGCTTGAACAGGGAGACGTTTTCTGCTCCCCCTAGCATTTAAATTTCCCTCCTTGTACCAAACATCCTTAGCTCTCTGTCTCCTTGGGTTTCTGTGGGCGGAATCTAAATTTGAGTTTTGGATTCTAGGACATGAAATCAAAGCTACTGAATTCTATCGAATGAATCCACATGTTATATACATACTGCATCTGCCCCAAAATGTATGAATCATGCCTTGAAGACCAAGTCAAGGTCCGGATTTGAAGTTAGTGACTTCAATTTTAAGGTTTTTAGCACGGAACACATTGTACTTTCTCGAATGTTATGAATTCAAAATTTCATATTTATTGAAATTTTAATGTATATATTTTCGCTCTATGTCAAAAATTTGAAAATAGGTTAACTGTGGCTTCCTATCGGTCTCTGCTTGGAGAAATCGTCAGTTATTTATGCTTTATGAAAACATGATATTTCCATCAATTCACCCATACTTCAACAAAAAAGGATCAATCCAATATATATCAATAACTAAGTTAGAGCGATGGTTTCACGTGGCCTGTTATAAATTGACAAGTCACTAATTTTGATTGCCAATTGCAATTTGTAGAGATTAAATAACTAATTTGATTTCATTAGTAACTGGTTATAGAAATTAAATTTGTTTGTAGAAATCAACATGGAGTTGTATATAGGAGATTACTCCTTTGATTTATTTTTTCCCCTTTGGTTAAATTAGCCTATTGTTCGCCGTGGTTTCTTTCCTAGATAATACATAAAAAAAAATTACAAATTTGGGTTATAACTTAAATAGAGATTCATTTTGCATAAAATCCGGAGTTGGCGTTTCCACTATTATTTGCATTGTCCTTTAATCCCACCCTCTTCCACTTCAGGATAACTATTGCACTTTATTTTGTTACTCCAGAACTTCAAAATAAAATGCATTATTATAGTCCACTCTTTCCTATGTTTGTTTTATCAATTGATGGATACATTTAGGATAAACTAGGAGTTACCATTACTTATATACAAAGTATCTAATTTTTGCTAGTATTATTATATGACTTATTCATCAGTATCTAGAAACCACTTGCTTAAAATAAAACCGGAGGATCCCCAAATATACAGAAGAAGACGAGAGAGTTGCCCACTGGAATATTTGCATCTAGCATGCTATTTATAGATTAGTTGTTATCCAAATCATTCAAAAAAAAAAACATGGCATTTATAATATCGAAAGAGCAAAAACCTTCTTTCTCTGAGTCCCAGAATGTGATTAATCAAGATAGTGAGAATGGAAGCTCACTAATAAGCAGTCAGCTCCATTTGAAATCATCGATTGATCACCAAAATGTTGTGTTAAGAAGACTTCGTCACCATAAGTGCAAATTTGCAAAGTCTATTGGACAGTACTTCTTCCACAAGGAATTATGAGTATGAGCACAAGTGGTTAGAACAGGGCGATGTTTTCTGCTCCCCCTAACATATGTAATTTGTTAAGAAACCTCAAATATGCTTAGCTCTCTCTCTCTTTGGGCTTCTGCCTTATCTAAATGTCCGAAGATTTAAAGTTAATGAGTTCAATTTTAACACTGCACTTTTGATATTATCGATTTTGAAATTTCCTATTTCTTGAAGTTTTATGTCGAAAATACTAAAATTAGTTGAACCCTGTAAATATGGCTTTATGGACCTCTGCTTGGAGATTTATGTGACAATATAATAGTCGTATGGTCTCAAACACCACGATTATAACAAAAAAAAATACACATATGATGTAATTACAACATACTCCCAAGTTAGTGCGCAAAAGAAAATAACAATAAAGATCTACTAAATTAAAAGCATATCACAAGTGTCAAGTGAAACGAAAAAGTCACAGCAAGATTTCAACTTCCATAGAAATAGCGATTTACATTGAAGTGAATAATGAATAGGTCACCATATTTTAGACTCTTGATCATTTCGTCCTTCAAGCATCAATAGTTTCACTAATTAATTAATTTAGAAATCGATCCTCATTAATTCATGAACCGACACGAATATCTAACATTTATATTTTAGGTAAACTATGTTAGCTTTAAATTTAAAAAATGCTTATATATTATACGTAGTACATCTTTAACCACTGCAAAATGGAACATGTATGTGCAGTACTTTTGTTGTGCAAACACCTACCACCATTGACATCTTTTAGTGAAGTTGGAGAATTTTCATTTGTCTATGGGACGTTTAACAACTTTTCAAAATTACAGAACCAAAGGTTAATATAATAAAACCTATCTATATATATTTATGTCGGGAAGATGAATTATATGATTAGATTAAAACAAATTAATCAAAAGTAAGTAGGTACAAAACAAATCTGGAAGATGTTCTTTTTGGAAGTTCTTGATTTGCAACCCGTGTTAATAATTGTTTATTTGACGACATAATCGGGTCAATTGATTTTATGATCCATTACGAAGAAAAAATTAAATAAAAAAAATTATATCCAACCTACCAATATCAGATCTGATATTTGAATTATAAGGGTTATAATTGAACCTTTTATTCCTATGAAATTAAAAAAATGGGTGGTGTCCCACATTATTTGGACAGATTAAATTTAGCATATCAACCACTTCCTCCTTTAATTTCTCTACAAACATTCTGGTGCTCGCTTGCTTCTCCTCCACCTTATTATAGTGTTTCGGTTAACTTATTCCTTATTCCTGTCTCTTCTATAAAATTTAGGGGAAAAAACCTGATATATTCCTCAACTTTCTCATGAAGTGAAAAAAATTAATTTTAATATGGATATATTTAATTCTTTTCACACATAATTTTTTTGGTTTCAACGACTAATTTAAATTTATTATTTTGATGGTCAAATTTATTTATGTTTCACTAATTTTTTTGTAAAATTATTTATAGATGACCCAATTTTTTTTCAAATACAAAAACTAAATAACAATATAGTCGAAAAAAATAGTTTTAAATTATAATATAGCCACAGAAAAATTAGTTTTAAATTTTTCTCTTTACACCAAGGAACGAAAGAAAAAAATAAAATAAGAATACGAAACTCAAATAATGATAATCAAAGACGTCAAAAAATAAGTTATGTATAAAAAAGATTAAAATAGATCTTGAACTTTGCTATTATGATCATATATATCCCTACATGAATTTTAAAAAAATTAAAAGTCAAAAATATAAATTTAAAACTAATTTTTTTACTTCCATTAATTAAGGGTATATGTGAGCTCATTTTATAACGGTAGGGGTATATGTGAGTCGTTTGTATAACGGTAAGGGTATACATGGCTACTTTCATGACGACGACAACTCCAAATGACAAAGTTGAAGGGAATATCAGGCCCTTTTTCCTAAAATTTATATTTTATCAGTCGATAAATCCAAAATTTTCACAAGTGCAAGTACACTTTTTATTTTTATTTTTCCTTATATATAATTGTGCAATTGTAAAAACATTTTTTGTTATTAATTAGCTTGTTACTTTGTAAAATTTTGGATTCGTCTTCAATTTGTCTCGTGCCATCATGGGGATAAAAATCCTTGTAGGTTCTAGTTTATTTGTACATTTTTTTCTAGAGCATATTTGAGTGAAAATGTAAAAATAAAAGATTATAACAATACCAAAAAAAAAAATAGAAAAATAACCAAACGGCTATCCTCAATTTATACACGCCCTTGTTTTATATGTGGACTCTGGCGCATATTTGGGCTAGGTTCATTTCTACAATAAAAAGCTATACGTTTGAGTATAATATATTCTTGGTTATTTCTATTTGTTCACAAGGTTAGAAATATATTTTTATTTTTTTAGCATATTAGGAGAAACATATACATCTTAGCGTTAATTATATATTTGCTAAAAATAATTTTAAAAAATTGATAATAAATATTAGTAATATAAATTGTGATAAACTATTCATATTAATTACTCTACTATATTTTTTTAAGAAACATTCTAAGTAGGTTTACTCTATTATATATATATATATATCAATTTTTTCACGTTTTGAATAAATTATTTCTTTTAATTTTATGTATATGGTTAATAACCGAAATC